GCCAACCGCACACATTCATGTTTTTGGGTTTCGGGGGAAAATTCCCTTTCCATAAAATTAATTCGATTGCTCTTGAGATAATTTTAATTGATGGGATGCCAGACCTTGGGAGAAAATTCAAAAGAAATATAAATAAATGCTTGGTTGAGTAATTTTAGATTAAACAAAAACTATGGGGTCGAATATTAATCAATCTGGGGAAAGAGCATGAATTCAGGGATTATTAAAATTATAAATTAAAATATGTAATTATATATTACATTATATTATTTTTAATCAATTAAGTAAGCAAACATATCTTAAGATACAAAAGGGAGATGCTTTTTTTATTGATATTTATTTTTGTAAACTGAGATAAGCAATGGGTATTTCTTAATTACTTAAATAAATGGATGTTCTTCTTCTAAATCACTTCTTTCTGTTTCTAAAATAAAATTTCCAACTTGTTTTTGTTAGACAACTTAAATAGTCTTTGAGTTCGCTTCTTGATTAGTCAAAGCAATTTGTTCATTTTCCGATGGCACACGCATTTCTATACCAACATGTAGTTTGTACCTTTCGGCCTGGCTAATGAATTCGTTTGGCAACGCAAATTTCCTACCGAAAAACACCTCAACGCGTCAAATGAAATGCAAACATTATACAAAACGCCCAAAGATGACGACGCGTAAACAAAAAAGCAGCAAAACCAAAAAATCAGGAACAAAAACAAACAGCAGGCAGCTCATGGCAGCATAAACATTTGGCGGGCTCTAAAAATAAGTGAGCTCCACTGTGCGAAAAATTAGGATAAGCATTTAGTTTTAATATACTTTTCAACTAATATCATTTTCATTTCAAAAATTAATAATCAACTACAGTTGGATCTTGATTAACCCAAATTACTTAGGTATTATAATTTGTTATAATAATTGTGGTAACAACAAATTATTTATTATTATTTTACTTCAAAATATATAAAATAAAATATATGAAGTGAATATTATAATAGTCAAATAGAACGTTTTCCAATTATTACTTGTACTCAAATTTAAAATATATAAAAAGATTTTTTTATTTTTCTGTATCTTTGTATTTAGTGATTACTCATACCTAAAATTTTAGAGCATTGTAAAATGTTCTGTAGTTTTCGAAATAGATATCAGGAACTTAGGAACATTTCTCTCAGTGCTTTTGTGGTGCGTGATTTTGAGTGTGTGGGCAAGTGTTGGTCGCACGTGTGTTAGTGCGTGAATGCTGGCTTCGCTAACTATATTTAGAGGGACTTACCCAGAGGCTGAAACATAGGTGGTTAATTGGAGAGGGGTGTGGATAGGTGTGATATTGGGGGTGTCTGAAAGGGTGAGGTTCAGGGCGTAATGCCAAATGCCAGCAGCTGTTCCGTTGGCCGGTTAATGAATGAACATATTCATGCATATATGCATGAGAGAGGAGCTCTAGCGCTATTCTTTTTTGCGGATATTTTGTTTATTTCATAACATATCATATCATATCATGTCATAACATATCACAGATAACATATTGTTGTTTATTTAGCAACTATCTATTATTATACATCAGCATTTATTATTTCAGTATTTCTTTTTTTCAAGAAACTTAGGATATCTTTTCAAAAAAGGGAGAAAAAATATACATTGTAAGTTTTTAAAGAGATACATTCTAAAGCTGACAGTTATCGCATAGTTAGGGGAACCCACCTTCAATAGAACCTTACAGTAATCCTCTTTTTTCCCATTTACACATGTCTCGCTTTTGGAGAGGGTGTGGGCGAGAAAAAGAGCTGCCCTCATTAATTTGCTTCGCTTATCAAATTGGTTTTGTTTTTATCAATTTTTGTTTGGCTCGAAGCGGACACAAAAGTTTATCCTCGTGTTGTTACTGTGCCCTCTTGTTTTTGTTGCTGGCACAATATTTGCCAGACCATTAGCGCCATTAACATAATGAATTGCCATTGGACTGCGGCATCGATAGAATCGAATCGAATCGAATCGAAACGAATATAACCGAGGCGATATACCATTATTTCCTGCATGTTGAAACTGTTTGCTTGCCATTTACCTGGTAAGGTGTGCAAATATATCAGGGGTGTGGAGAGCGGGGCGATGACATTGATTTAGTGGGAGTTTTCACAGCTCTGGCAATATTAGAAATTCAATTCCCCTGTAAGTGTATGCAGTTAAATTGGATAAGGAAATATAAGCGAGGGATGAAAAGAAATATATGGTTTGCAGTAATTCTGTAGAAAACTGAAGATTATAGATTCATGAAAACTATATCATAATAAGTGGTATCAGATCCCTGAACATTTCTATCCTATAATGATTGCTAATGATTTCCAAACTGTGCACCATGACAAACCATTTCTATTATGCTACTGCCTGTGATTAATCATCTGATTTAGCATCCGAAAATTATAATTTTTGATTGATTATGCACTCAGCTGTTGCCTATTATGCCCAAAAGGACCAAACAGTTCAAGCCAATTAAATCCGTTTGTATCCTGCTTTCTGTCAGCGGGCTCTTCGCCGTCAACTCATATTTGGAAAAGTCCTATTGGGGTCGTAGGAAAATGCAAAATAGCTTAGGACTTAAGACGTCGAATGAATGATTCCTGAAGGCAGCCATAAGTGTCGAATGACAGACGATGACGACATTTATGAGCTTTCATTAAAGAGACTTTTCAATTGCCTGGGCAACGTCTCTGGGGATTTTCCCGCCGCTTTTCCTCCCTCGAATTTCTGTTTTCTGTTGCCTATTTTGCATATGAGCGGGAAGTTGGGAAAACTTGTGATGTTTTTTATTTTTAGTTTTGGTGCGGAAGAAAACTTTGGTGACTTTTCGCAGTACACATAAAGTTTTCTTTTTAGTTTTACTATTTTGAAAACTTTTCTAATTGATGCCAGCTTTGTAGGCTCTCAATTGGCCATACTTTCCAGAGAATATTTGAAATGGGTTACGCAATTTTTATTTTATGGATCTCTCAATTGGTTTTCGTTTTAAGAACATTGTAAATATTTAAGAAATGTTAATTAAGTGTTGAATGGCTTAAACTTTGGAACTACTTGAAAAATAGAATTACTTTTCATTAGCAGAACTAAGAAATATGACTTATAGTTTATGTTATGATCTTCGGGTTTTTCCTCTTTACCATTTTTTCCCTCGACGGGTGGCATAAATGTTTAACTAAATGAAAAACACAGCATTCTGAATGGCGTAAACTGATTCATGAGAATTTCCAAGGAATTTCTTAAGTGAATTTCGTTGAATTGTTTGTTGTGTTACTCGATAGGTTCGTACTTTTGCGAGAACTCTTTTTTAATATTTATTTTTTCCATTACATTTTTCTTGAATTTTTTTGGCGTTGAAATTTTTTATATATTTTTTTGGCAACAGCAAAACAATTTGTTTATAGCACGCGGAGCGTTGTGTTTTTGACATATTTATGCCGTTGGCCAGGCACTTGTGCTCGGCCTTCTTCCCTTTCTTCCCTTTCTCCACTTTCCCCCCTTTTTCCCTGCCATGCCTCTTCTTCCCTGTATTGGCAAAGTTTTCAACGCCGCCTCTGGCTAAAAAACAAAAGCCGACAAAAGGCAAAAGACGGCGATGATGAAGACGAGACGATGAAGAGCCAAGAAACCGGCGAACGGCGAACGACCTGGCTTTAAGACTTTCCACAATGGAAGTTTTCCCTCCGACTGCCTGCTTTCTTTCCTTTATTTCCGCTTTACCCGCCCCCCTTCTCACCCCGCCTCTGTTTTGCTGTTGTCTGTGGCACAGTTTTGTTTGGAATGCTAATGAAATCGGGTAGATTGACTATATCGAAAGACTCGATACATTTTTTGGAATACCCAAACAGAACTTTAAAATATTTTGAAAAATTAATATAAAGGTTTTATTTGAGTAACTCAAATAAAGTCTAAGAAATCTATGCCTTACAAGTACATATGTAATCTTTTGATCTTAATGTTTTTTATTATCACTTTGTTTTCTGTTTGATTTTTATGTTTGCGCTTTTATTGATTTTTATAGTAAGTATCAATACCAATCTATCGTCTACGATCACAGAAATATTTTCCAATAGACAGACCAATAAATTTTCATCTTGAATAATAAACTTTTTTTTAATTTCCTTGATTCGTCTTAAATTAGTTTATTAAGATCTTGTCCTATCTAATTTCACTAACTTATAATTAGAATTTCCAAGTCCTAGGTAAGACAAGTTCTTTCCTTGTTTTATTTTACAAAGGCATCTGCACGTTGAATCTCATATCTTTTCATAAAACAAACCATATTTTCAGCGTGCCATAAATGAAAGATAATCTCAGCCTTCATTCTTCCAGTTCATCTGCAGTATATCTAAGATAATCTCTGTTACTTTATGACTTTAAAAGGGTATTAAAACTTCGCTTGATCGCTGATAAATTTCTTTGTATTTTCTGCTTCCCAGTTTTTGTTTCATTCGAAAATTTAACAAACAATCTGAAGTTGTGCTTGTTGTGGGCCTATCTACCCATCTCTTTCTGTCCAAATCGCCCCGTCTCTTTCGCGGCTTCTGTTTTGATAGGACCTCGCGTGTCTGGCGAGCATTTCGTGAGACTTAAGTGGGCCGGCACCCAAAAACAAAAAACCAAAAAACCAAAAAACCAAAAAAAACCTTAAAAACCCATATATATATATAGGTATATATCTGAAGGAGAGTGGGTGGTGGGGGGAATCCGAAAAGTAGATACGATATATTTATTGGCGGCGTCAGTTTGCGATGTTTTTTTTATGCGAGGGCGGCAGTTTCTGTTTGAGTTGCTTTGTTTTTGGGGTTTTTCCCTGCCTTCGCCAGTGCAAAATCGAATTTATTGTTTTAATGCCATTTTCTGTCGCTGTCGAGCGCAAAAATTGGCAATTTGTTTAGAAATTAGCGCACTGCCTGTCGTTCTTTGTGCCTCTTATAGCATGTAAAATGGAAATCAATTTTCACTTTCCCCATCTTCCTCTCCTTTTTTCAGATCAAGTGGGTGGAAGTGGCGAAATGAGCGGAGCGTCGGGAGCGGGAACAGGTGGTCCAGGTGGTCCAGGTGGTCCAGGTGGCCCAGGTGGCCCAGGCGGCGGTGCCACCCACATCTTTCGCTCGCTTTCATCGGAGAGCCAGAAGCGGGAGTGGTCCAAGCGGCTCTCCCTCCGGGGAATGCGCCATGGAGGTCCTGGCGTCACAGGATCTGGAACTGGAACGGGATCGGGCTCCTCGAGCCTGGCCAGCAGCAAGGAGGTAAGCCAATTGACTAAACTCGAAATCATTGCCCAACAGCTCACTGGGGAAAAGGGAAGAGATACATCTACGCACTTCAACAAATTCTGTATTCCAATAAATATATTATTTACATAATAAACAAAAAGCTATTTTAAAATATCTGAGAATCCCATCGTTAGCTCTAAGTTTCACACTATTGTTAGCTTTAAATAAAAAATTTAATATTTGAAAATATTTGTCTTATGAATGTGATATCATTTTTTTTAACATCCATAAAAGATTTTATTAAATCGTAATCCATTCATAATTCCAAAATTAATTTTACTTTCTACTTCTATGTAAAACAGATAGTAATGATTTTATGAGTCACAACAAAAAGTAAAGTGATCAATATTTAAGAGATTGGTCATTTTAAGATTTGATTAATTACAGAAATAATTATTTTAGACTTACGTTCTTTGAAATATAACTTTATTTTTTATAAAAATCACATTAAATCGGTAAACACAAAAATAGTGTTAGACCAATATTTACTTTAACGAGGCCATAAAATGTTTGCCAACAATTAAAGATGATATGGGATCAAAATAAATATTATATATGATGATGATAAACATAGATAACCATCCTGCTTTAATGAGAAAATTAATTGTATAACAAAATTTTATGTGTTTACGTGTTAGGTAATAATAATAAAGACACACTTTTCATAATATTTACGGCAATGAGTACTTTGTTTACTTTTTCATTTCAATGCTACTTCATTTTTAGTATTTGTTGTATAAGGCCTGAAACTTAAATGTGTTTATGTTATTGTTTTATTTTATTTTATTTTGGAAGGTCAGTTTCAATTTTATTTGCTCTAGTCATCAGTGTACTCACACTTTCCCCATGTACTTTTTCAGGAGAGCAAACACAGAAAGTTCTTCAGCCGCTCGGCCTCGTTGCGTCAGGCGGGGAGTGGAGGAGGTGGTAGCCAACAGACCTCCATGGAGCTCCATGTGCCCGGCCAGGAGGGAAAGGTCAGTGGAGGAGGAGCCTCCTCCGGAGCGGGCTCACCGCATTCACAGACCCAGCCGTCGACGCCCAAGAAGTCCAACTGGGAGGTGATCGAACATTTCAATACGAGTGCCAAGGGAGGCAAGGCCATGGTTAGCAGCAGTTTGATTGCGGTAAGTACGAGGGGATTCTGGCATCAATTAATTTGCCCGCCTAATGGATGGCAGGCCACCCACAGCACCCACCCACCTCCTCTGGGATTTAAATATTTAATTTGATTGTCCCGCCAATAAGCCGGGGAGAGCTAAATTTAAATACGATTTCATTGATGGCTGAAGTTGCTAATGGAAAAGGCGAAGGGACAAAACCTGCGCCCTGGGAAATTTATTTAAACTCAAACAATCTGGCACAAGCAAACCGTCTGCATGTCAGCAAATTTGGATTTTAATTAAATTTATTGTTTTATAGCAATCGATGCCGCAATATGGCTTGAGGACGAAGCCCTGCGGCCAATTAAAAGCTCTTCAAACTTGATCAACACTTTTTTGTTTGAATTTAATAAAAGATATTATAATTTATTATTAGATTAGTTGGTTACTTAGTAGTTACTTCCGAAAAAATGTTTAAAATTGATTTACTATATCAATTTGTATTTTCTAGTTCATAATTTTGATTTTCTTCATAGTTTGACATTCTTAAAAAATACGACAATGTAATAATAAAACTAACTCAACAGCTCTACTTTATTTTCTATAATTTAAATTATTTAGTTACTGGAACAAGAAAGCATTCATAAGTGAAATACAAATTGTAGAGGATGCAGTTCACATTTAATGAGAGCGCGGTTTTCAACCGATGACTAAAATAGATATTATTATGGTTTCTGTTTTGCAATGTTTACCTTTCCTGGAAACTCTAGTGATAGTTAAGCTGTTGCTATCAAACGACTCTATAAGCTGCCCCCATTTTATATCTTTTTTCCGCTATATAGTATACATTTTCAGATGCGGTACTCTATATAAACGTGTTTTAATGCCAACTAACAAGCCATGTCCTGGAAAACGCACACAAGCGCAGGCAGGCACCCACACATGCATGGCTAAGCTGACATGCACAGGGGGCCACTTAGCAACTGCATATGTGTGTGTGTGGGAGGGTATTTCTATTTGCGTTTGTTGTCAAGAGTCAATTGACAAAGTTTAGCAAATTGAAAAGGCAAAAAAAAAGCGAGAGAAGTGGGGAAAAAAACATTTCTGGCATTCAAATGGGCGGCAATTTGCTTAAAAACGCCACGGGGATCCAAAACACACACTTGCCACTGTGTGTGTGCGGCTGAGAGTGTGTGCGTGAGTGGGTGAAACGTTTAGTTCAATTGTTTGCGGACCACACAAAAATCATAGCATACTTACAAGAGCCAAATGAATTTTTTGTGTAAATAAAAGAAAAAGTATCTATGTAACCATTTACACACAGATACCAGCTATTTAATAATAATATATTATTTTAATTAGGCAGCTGAAATATGTGGATAAATTATTTGCTAAAAAGTATTTATTAGACCTTTTTTAACATGAACTGATTTGATTTGATTTATTACTACTTTTTTATACAAAATGTATTCATCTGATTGAATTACAATTTAATACTAATTAAAACAGATTATATCTTTATATACAAGTAAATTTTTATTACATTAACCAATTTTCCATCTGACATTTAACTCGTTTATTACATTAATTGCCCTTGGTTTTGATAACACTTTATTACAAAAATAAATTTTAAATATGTGCAATAAAAACTCATTAAAAAGTTGTTTGTTTCGGGTATAAATAAATATGTCATTTAATTTAGTTCATGACTGCGGTCTTATTGAAATGCCCCAATGAAATTACATACCCTGCAGCTCTAATAAAACTATTATTCCTCATTTTACCTTTGAAGGCTGGCATTACGCGGTGCAACATAGACGAATCCATGGACTCCACCAACTCCAGCTCCACCTGCCACAGTCCCATGATCTACCAACGTGACGAGACGCAGCTGTTGCAGCCAGGTGAGAAGAATCGAAAGAATCTTGGGTAATAGGAATCGCTTTTCCATCCATAACAGGGGCTACTGAGGGTCAATAGAAATACCAGCATGCTCACATGCCTCCTTATCCCACATACTCGTATTTCCCCCAACCACACCGCTCAAAATGTCACAAGTTGATTGTCATTGTCATATTGAATTTGACGAGGCTATTTCGCAGTCTCGTCTCTTTTTTTTCTCGCTTCTCGTCTCACGTTTCCTAGTCATTGGCATTTCACTCACATACCGCCTTTTTTCCCCCTTCAAGGTTGCCTTGACTGCCCAGTTCCTATATCATCGCCCCAGCCTCCTTTCGCCCAGCAACCAGATTTATTCTAGTTTGTGTTTCCTGTGAAAGAAACCAGCCAGCCTTTGGTTTTCCTTGGCTTCGATAGACATCTGTGTATGTGTGGGGGAAAAGCTGCGTAGATTTCTATGGAAATTTACATAATCACGTTCGGCATTTATTTATTGATGCATATAAAAACATACTCCGAGATCCATGCCATTCCATGTTTCCCCTACGAGCTTGTGGTTTTCCTTTTTTTTTGCATTGTGGTCAGGACACGGGACAGTTGAATGAGTTTAATATGCCGATTTGGCCGACGTTCTCCATTTTACAATAAAATATTTGATGGCTTTGTGTGCTGCATTTGAAATCAAGGTTTCCATTCTTGGGTGGGGAAATGTCAGAGGCATTGACGACGATGTGGCGCACACAATGGCTGGCAAATCGAAAATGTATATAACACGTTAAGCGAACGAATTGTACTCGAGTTGTCACAATGGCCCCAGAAATATGATTATGTGGGTGGGGAGGAGTCCCAACTGTCTTCGTTAGGTTTTGTAGCCCAAAAAGATACACACGATGTGTTCATCAGGTAACAGAAATTGACAAGTAGTTCAGGGGTTATCAAAGGAAATAGATTTTGAATGGCAAATAATATGTTTACTTTTTGATTATTAAAACCGAATTTGATTTATAAATTTAAAAGGGAAAATATTCTTTAGAATTTTAGCTAATGAATTAACAATTTTTGACAAAGAATAGTTAAATAATATTACCGGGAAAATATAAAAAACATGTATTTATATAATTAAAAAAAACTTTATTGGACCATTGACAAGTATTAGCTTTTTAACTGAACTTTAAGCTTAGATGGCTTAAAAAATCAGGCACTTAATGAAGCATTTAAGTTGAAACAAATCCGTGCTTTTACAAAAAAACTAATAAAAAAGGTTGCAAATGACACCTTTCACAAACATTTCATTAGTTTAGTTTTTTCGTAATTACAAATTAACCACGAACAGATGGTTTTTTAATTGGAATTACAATTTAGATGACTAATAAAAAAGTGCAGTATTTAATATACCTAATATGTTAATTTAAAAGTAATTTGTCATCGACAGCCTTAACTTGCTTCAATGCACGAAAATAATTCATTGCACAATAATGTTGCATTTACCTGCCCATTCACCCATGGCAATTACTATTTACAATCAAAACCCTCTTGCGAATGCCAAAACTTTTGCATTTCATGCTGTGTCGGATTTATAACTAAAATTTCCATAATTCTAATCAGTTCCAAAGCTTTTCCCCATTAGAATGGTAACTCAAATGTGAAAATGCAACAGCTGTAATTGAACTTGCAAATTTGGCCAGCAATTTGCAATCAGGTTGTGCGGCTAATTGCAGTTGAATTTCAGTTAGAGCTCAAGTTGGGATAACTTTCTGGCTGAGGTATTAATTAATTTCGCATTTGTTCGGGTCCGTATTGATAGGCCTTTCGTAGGAGACTTCGACATCGAATTCAAATCGAATTCATCTGCTTTCAGGCGATGCCGGCAATGTGGAGGCCAACAATCCGATTCCGGGCGGCGGAGGATCCGGAACGGGAAACGGTCCCGTGAGCCCCAGCATCTCCTTCTGGTTCCGTTTGAACCGCATCATCCTGCGCCTCTGCTCCACGCACCAGTTCAAGAATCTCCAGGTAAGCTACTTACGCCCCGGGCTTAGCGAGAAATCCTTGCCAAACAAGTTCCGACTGCTCCTCAAACGCCCCCGTTCTTTGAAACTTTTTCGCCCGCTTTGCTACTTAGTTTGCTAAACTTTTTTCACAGCACTTGGCAAAAACATTTTTTTGAAAATGTATATAAAGATTATAGATTTTAATGTGTAATGTCATATTTTATGATTTATTAGATTAAGTTTGAAGAATTTATCCTAATTCAAAGACGTCCAAAAAATTTTTTGATAAGAGATTATTTTCTGGTATAATCCAAACTTTATCCAAGCTGATGATATAATATCTACCAAAAAATATTTTTGTGTTTAATTTAATTTTTCTTTTTGTTGAATTTGAAAAAGATTTCCAAAATATTTGTTAGCATGTAATATATTTACAGAACTCATTATTTTTTTAAGTAGTTATCTATAAAGAACTGTCAATTTTGTTCTAGTTATAAAATCTTTGAAAACTAATTCTCTGAGTGCCCTAATTTGCCTCTGTCCCATCAGGTGGAAATGCTCTATCAGCGGTATTTTCTGCGTATGAACCAGAGCAATACTACGCACATTTTGGCCCTGCTTTTGGCCCTGATTTTGGCCCTGTCCTGCACACATTTGGTCTTTACCACGCTGCAGCTGCGGCGCAGCACCTCCCTGCTGTTGGAGATCAGCGAAATTGGGCTGGACGCAAATGCGACCGTTGGCAACTTGACGACCACCACAATGAAGCCGCCGGCATCAGCGGGTCAAATTGCCCAAGGCAGGAGCTTCGTCCCGGTTTTGGCTCACAATTCCAATGCCAGTTGGTTGGCAAAAGAGGCGGTGGCAGGGGGCTCCGATTTGAAATCGGCCCATAGCCACAGCCCCGCCGATTTTGAAGCCGACGATAATGGGCAGCCGGGGAGGCAGTGGCGCCGGCAGAAGCGCAAACATTATCGACGCCTCCACAAGCACCGGTACAAGCACAAGTCACACCAACAACATCGCACCAGGTGAGCAGGGATGCCAACTATGTCCTATAGAACGTACGAACCAACCAACATTATATTATTATATTATATTATTATTTATTTATATTTTTCATAAGTTGAGTTATCGGATTCCAATTTAGTTGTGCGAAAGCTCTATGAATAATATATTCTACATTAAGATATTAATCTTAAAAGAGGGTCGAAATTTTAAACCCTTTTCATGTCCGAATTTTCCTTATTTCCAAGGGCTTTCCAGAATGGGATCCCAAAAATCGAACTTTTGAACTTCCATATCTTTAGTTATCGGACTCCGATTTAGTCGTGCGATACCTCAATGATTTTGTCCTTGAATTCCCTAATATTCTAGATTAAAATATTTATTTTAGAAGAGGGTCGAAATTGAAACCCCTTTTCATGTTCGATTTTTCCGTATTTCCAAGGGCTTTCCATAATGGGAGCCCAAAAACCGAACTTCTTACTTCCATAACTTGAGTTATCTAATTACGATTTAGTTGTGTGATACCTCTATGAATTTGTGGTTAAATTCCCTAATATTCTACATTAAAATATTTATTTTAGAAGAGGGTCGAAATTTTAGCCCCTTTTCATGTTCGAATTTTCCTTATTTCCAAGGGCTTTCCAGAACGGGATCCCAAAAACCGAACTTTGAATTTCCATAACTTGAGTTATCGGACTCTGATTTAGTCGTGCGATACCTCGTTGATTTTGTCCTTGAAATCCCTAATATTCTTGATTAAAATATTCATTTTAGAAGAGGGTCGAAATTTTAACCCTTTTTTATGTTCAATTTTTCCGGATTTCCAAGGGCTTTCCAGAATGGGAACCCAAAAACCGCACTTCTAAATTCCATAACTTAAGTTATCTAATTCCAATTTAATCGTGTGATACCTATATGAATTGGTGGTTAAATTCCCTAATATTCTACATTAAAATATTTGTTTTAAAAGAGGGTCTATATTTTAACCCCTTTTCATGTTCGATTTTTCCGTATTTCCAAGGACTTTCCAGAATGGGAGCCCAAAAACCGAACTTCTAAATTCCATAACTTGAGTTATCGGATTCCGATTTAGTCGTGCGATACCTCTATGAATTTGTGGTTGATTTTTTTAATATTCCACCTTAAAATATTTGTTTTAAAAGAGGGTCGAAATTTTAGCCCCTTTTCATGTTTGAATTTTCCTTATCTCCAAGGGCTTTCCAGAATAGAATCCCAAAAATTGAACTTAGAATTTCCATAACTTGAGTTATCGGACTTCGATTTAGTCATGCGATACCTCTATGATTTTGTCCTTAAATTCCCTAATATTCTAGATTAAAATATTTATTTTAGAAGAGGGCCGAAACTTTAACCGTTTTTCATGTTCGATATTTCCATATTTCAAAGGACTTTTCAGAACGGGAACTAAAAACCGAACTTCAAAAATCCTTAACTAGAGTTATAGGATATCGATTTAGACGAGCGATACCTCTATGAATTTGTGGTTGAATTCACTGTATTTCTACGATATAGGCTTAAAAGCTCACCGACGAACGTTGAAAACAGTTTCTGAACTGCGGACAAAGTGGCGAAGAGGAAAGCTTTTAGTATATAAAAAAATATAAATTAGCCTTATTTAGCTATAAAATATCCATGCTATCTTCACTGCAGATGTAAATGGAGGGGTGTAATATAGATGAAAAAGAGGAGGCAAGTTTTGACAGGTCACCCCAGTCGACAATGTGTTTTTCCCAAAAGGCGATTCATATTTTGCACAGCTCGCATTTGAGGTTTTACTCCCATGAAATTCAATCAACCAACTTTAAGCTGCCCAAAAAGAGCTGAGCCCATAAAAGTATGGCCAAAGTAGGCTCAAATTGAATTTAAAGCAGGCTGGAGGGGCTGGAACAAGTTAAGCTTCAAGAAAAGTAATTTTAGCCCAGGCAAGGCCACAATCGAAGGGAATCCATGACAAGGCTTTAATCAAGTGCGAAAAAGCGATTTGAAATTGAACTTAAAGACACATTTTAGGGGATATGATACCAGTTGTTAAAGTAAATAGGTCAAATTCAAAGATAAATAGTTTTAAGATCTTAAGCAAAACAAATTGAGGAAACGTAATTTGAGTCTTAGTTACAAGAAATTAAATTAGGGATGATTTCGGTAAACCTTAAAATAGAATCAACCGTTTTTAGTTTCAAAGACAATCTCTATCCAAAATAAGTAAAGTTTAACTTATAAAAGCGTATAGAATTCAAGAGGATTAATCTTGATTTTTAATTAAATTTTATTTAATTTAGCGTTGTAAAGCTACAAATGAAATTCCTAGAAGGAAACAAAAGTGAAATTCGGTACTCAATATGTTGTCAAAAAAGAACATAAATTGGTATTCTGTGTTTCTGCCTTAACCAATTTATTTTCAACCAAATATTTGTCAACAAGACAATGCCTTAATCAATAGCTCGTGCGAGTACTTGATAACTGACTCCTCGAATTCATTTTGCCTGCCATTTCCATTTACATTTATATTTATTTTGCCACAAATATTTATGCTGGCCATAAGTGCCGGCAAGACGGATAGTTAGCCAAACACAAAGCAGGCATTTTCATCAATTGAGATGGGAGTGAAATTAAATTTCGGACTTTATTGCAGATACAGGATACGGGAGAAGCGGAGTCTGCAGGATATTGGGCTGTCAAGGGGGCGAGGTAGCCAGCTGATTGTTGACACTGCCCCCGATGATGTGTACACAGTATCTCGTGACCAGGACGATAAGGATGAGGATGAGGATGATGATGATGATGAAGGGCGTAGGGCTGGCAGTAAACGCATTACGTATACGCCGCGTGTCCGCGACAACAATCAAATTTCACAAGCGGAACGTGATGAAGTGTTAAATACATCGTCAAACGCAGGTCCTGCAGCCGATAATTTGGACACTCCCCTGGGCTATGGCCACCTCATCTCCCTGATCCTGCTGCAGGTGGACAGGTCCGTGCTGGTCTTCCTCATTGTCATGCTAATCTGCGGGATTGTCTACGCCTGTAAGTTGCCACCCCCTCCATTGAATGACTCCCAACTTGGGGCCCTAATCCCTTTGTGTTTGCCTACAGTCCTGCTGTGCATCCTCTCCAAGCCGGCCATGAACGAGATCTTCCTGGTGCTGGTGTCCTACGTCATTTTGGCCACCTTCCTGGCCATCGAGGTGGCCGTCAGCTATGCCATGCAACCCAGGTTGGTATATGGGTGCCCTAGAAATCGTCTTCAAAGCGAAAAAGGATGTACATTAATAAATCGGTTATAGATTTTAAATATAATATAAAATAATAGTTTCTGTTAGAAATTAAATAAGTTATTTATTTGAATTATTGTATCTAGTAATATTTTAAATTTTAAATATTAAATCAAATACTTTACTTTAATTTTTTATAAAACTGATTTATGAGATTCAAATATTTTTCATAAAGCTTCTATAAATTCCTTAATTATACCCGTTACTCGTAGAGTAAAAGGGTATACTAGATTCGTCGGAAAGTATGTAACAGGCAGACGGAAGCGTTTCCGACCCCATAAAGTATATATATTCTTGATCAGGATCACTAGCCGAGTCGATCTAGCCATGTCCGTCTGTCCGTCTGTCCGTCTGTCCGGATGAACGCTGAGATCTCGGAAACTATGGGAGCTAGGCTATTGAGATTTGGCGTGCAGATTCCTGAGCTTCCTACGCAGCGCAAGTTTGTTTCGGTAGACTGCCACGCCCACTCTAACGCCCACAAACCGCCCAAAACTGTGGCTCCTACAGTTTTGATACTAGATAGAAAATTTTAACTGAAATGTAATGTTCTCATCAATACCTATAGATTGACCCGAAAAAAAGTTTGCCACGCCCACTTTAACGCCCACAAGCCGCAAAACCCTGTGACGCCCACAATTTTCATGCTAGATAAAAAATTTTAACTGAAGTGTATTGGTCTCGTCAATACCTATCGATTGATCCAAAAAAAAGTTTGCCACGCCCACTTTAACGCCCACAAACCGCAAAACCCTGTGACGCCCACAATTTTCATGCTAGATAAAAAATTTTAACTGAAATGTATTGGTCTCGTCAATACCTATCGATTGATCTAAAAAAAAATTTGCCACGCCCACTCTAACGCCCATAACGCTTAAATCTGTATACCGCCGGTAGGTGGCGCATTTTAATCTCGCTTTGCTGCTTGCATATCTCCATATAGCTGAGTAACGGGTATCTGATAGTCGAGGTACTCGACTATAGCGTTCTCCCTTGTTTTTTATTAAAATTGGCTGTTTTTGTTAGACAACTTACTCTAACATTTTGTTAAATGAGACTTAAGAGAGCCCCTAGTTTTTCTCAGTGCACGGCAGCTGTTGCCTGGCTCGGCAAAATTAATCATTCACGGCTCGCTAATTGCGAGAACTTGGCATCATGCTGAGCTAACCACCCCATCTCGAGTACCGTGTCCTAATCGCTCTTCTTGTGTCCGATTTCCTCCGGCAGCAAATCCTTCAACGGCAGCGCCTGCTGCATCGTGCTCATCTACATGACCTACACGATGCTGCCCCTCCGCCTCCGGGAGGCTCTGATCGGAGGCATCCTCCTGAGCGTCGTCCATCTGTACACCTGCCTGAGGTTCACCGCCATCGAGGACGAGGCGGTGGAGGAGCTCCACTGGGAGGAGGTGAGTGGGGGACACATGATACTATACAACTGCGGTCTCCGATTTGGTGAATTCCTGTGGCCTGAATGGGCTTCAATGATATGTGTCTTAATTGCTGTTTGAACTGAAAGGGAAGTGTCTGATTTAATTTCTTTAATATATGTGCCCCTTTAAAGACTGTTTGCCATTTAAATTTACTAAAGAAGTCCTTGGTAATTGAAGGCATTATAATAGGTAATATTAGTCTGCCAAGCTAATTTGATTACCAAACTTTTTGTGGAAAGTAAAACATTGTTTTAGGGTGTCATATAACTTTTCAGCTATTTTTGTTTGCATTTCAAATGAGCCATATAGCCATCTATCAACAGGTTTTGGCATTTCCACTGAACCGCAAATGCCAATCGATTTAGCGAATAATAAAATTTGAAAGACTGCGCAATAATAAAGGAGCGGAGTGTTTGGAGGACATCCAGCTTTAATTGCCTCCTTAGCGGCGGTGGAAAATGGGAAAACCGGGAAGGAAAACAACAGCTGAGTGTGGCACGTGTCCAAGGGCCTGAGAGTAGACGTAAATGAAATGAAATTAAATTGCCGCCAAATTGAATGAAATCGAGAATGTGAAGGGTGCTCCTCCTCCAGTTGCCTAAGTGTTGTTTTCCTTGTATTTATGGCTCGTAATGTCATTAATGCCTCAATCTCCGCCCGCAGCTGCTCTGCACTCTGGTGGCCCTGCTCCTGGCCAACCTCACCGGGGTCTACACCCACTGGCCCAAGGAGAAGGCCCAGCGGAAGGCCTTCATTGAGACGCGGCAGTGCATCGAGGCCAGGCTGAGGACCCAGCGGGAAAATCAGCAACAGGTGAGTGCTGTTCAAGAGGCGGAAAAACTTTAAAGTTCTTCTCATCTATCATAAAAGAAATAAATATAGAAAATCATATAAAGGTTAGGGCAGTCTAATAAAATGATTATTAGGGTATTTATGTTCTAATAGAAACCTTTTCTAGTTTATTGCAATTTATCTTCATATTTTGTTTCCTTTTGATTTACAACTTGCAAGCCTCTTTAAAAGTTATTTTTATAAATACACCATTCCTTCCCCAAAGAAAAATCAGCAGGTGTCTTATTAATGTGTGGGCGGAAAACATGAAAAGGCCAAACCAACAGGCAAACAACTGAATTCCTGGCCAATTTCGCAAAAATGGTATGCATCAAACGGAATGTTGACTGAGGACCAGCGGGGCAACATATTCATCTCTTACTTTTTGGAATGACATACATACATTCACATTTCCGTGGTCTTTTATCTTGAATATAACAAGCAAATGGTGTTTTTTGTAGGGGGGGGTCCCACAATGTGTCAACACCTTTTGATGATGACTACTGGAACTAAAAATAAAAATAAAATAGATGAGAAATATGAAAGAGAATTGCGATCAACTTAGAAGCGCTCTTATTAAATCTGTTATAAAATATAACATTTTCTACTTCAAAGCAACTTTATTAACACGTACTTCTAAAAATTTCCATTAAAAAATAATCAAAAAATAATCTTAAAGCACTTTCTTTTAAGCAATCCTCTTTAAAAATGTTTAGTAAAACACCAGTTTTAGAAATACTCTTCGAATGTAAATACAAAGTTGATCTGTTGATATTTCCTATAGAGTACGAAACCGTAAAATTAATTTATGCAGGCTGATCCCGGGAGCCAGATTCAAATTTAAATCGTATTTGGGGTTCAGTAATGGATGTGGGTATTAAAGCGGATCCATTCGTTGCAGGAGCGCTTGTTGCTGTCGGTGCTGCCTCGTCATGTGGCCATGGAGATGAAGGACGACATTGCGGGCCAGCCACGTGACACACAGTTCCATAAGATATACATCCAGCGGCACGAGAACGTCAGGTGAGTGGACCAAAAGGTGGAGGGGGTTTCGAATTTATTTGCATGCAAAGTCAATAAATTGCTCGACTGAGAGTCCCTTGGAAGTCTGAATGTCTGAATGTCTGAGCGTGTAGCGCGAGCAATGAATTTGTATGCAAAGCCAAAAAGGAGCTGAACCAAATGCACAGCGCCACGCACACAGTTTCAAAGACACACACACACACCCACACACACAGGACACCAGCAGTCAACCAAGCATAATAAAGCATACTTTGAGGCGCACCTGTTTGAGCCAAAAATGTCCTCTGTCTCTTGCTTTTTGTTCGCTTTCCCTTTAAAAGAGTTTCTGGGATTTCTGTTTTAAGATGTCAAGAGGAAAAAGAGAAATACAGCTGGGTTGTTTACGATAGTATTCCTAGAACGTGTCAGTATTATGATATTTCAAAGGAAAAAACTCAGGTGATACACAAGTTTCTTAAGGAGACTAAATAGAATAATATCATTTTTCTTAAGAGCCCTAAACCATATTTAACTGCAAAAAGAAACTCACAGTTCAAAAACCATTACAATTTTAAATGAAATAACAACTTTTATAAATACATATATTAAATCTAGCACATAAATGTTAGAGTATTCCCTCCTTCAGCTCTCATAAAAATTTTCCCCTGTTACTTTACTTTGTGCTTACCCTCCCAAACTTTGCCTTAGCCATTTTGTATTAAATTACGCGCTGAGCCGACTAAGCCCTTCTCAGTTACGAGTCGTAAAATCAGCAAAAGCGAAACAAGTGGCTGTGCTAACGTGGCTCTGTCAACACATGGCCGTGTCTTATAGGCCGAGAGTAACGTGAAAGGATTTAACATCGTTAGATTTACGTAAATAAATAACTGACACATAACCTGAAATAAAGGATAAAATATATTCCAGAAGACAACAGCTAACAGAATTTTAAAGGGAAAGCATTTGGTATACTGAAGTTCCATTGAAGTAACTGCTTTAAGAGAAACCTTTAAATGTCTCGTAGATGTCTTAAGAATTTCTTCAAAGAACATAACTCATAAAGTAAATAATAGTGGGATCACAGTCAGTATCCAATAACAAAGCGGGGAGTATTAACCTCAACAATTTAACGTTTCAGCAAAAGGCAACCACTTCTTTTGAAATGCATCATAACTGATGCACAGAAAGAAAATATATATAATAGAAAAAAAACTTTTCATAGAAAACATAATTATATGAGGTTCAAACATTAAGGTATCTTCCCTAAAAATGTTTGGTTGAAGTCCAAAACCTACCCTCTGACGTGTTCCCAAAATTATACGACGTACTGGTTTTTTCTCTGTATAGAGAGTCCTTCCACCATCTTACATTCCCATTTCCCTCTTTTCCAGCATCCTTTTTGCGGACATTTGCGGTTTTACCAGCCTTTCGGATCAGTGCACCGCCGAGGAATTGGTGCGCCTGCTGAACGAGCTCTTTGCCCGGTGAGTATTTGGGTATTTTCTGGATGTGCCATCTGAATGGACAGTTGGACGGGTCAGGGTTGGGGCTCCTAGCCATAATTAATGGCAAACAATTCATACACTTGGCAAAAAAGAACTACACTTCAGTTTCGGTTAACTTTGGAAGATAAGCCTGAGCCATAACTATTCGATTCGTATTTTACATTAATTCACAAAAAGATAAGATACATTAAGGGATGTTTCTAGAAGAAGGTTTCAAGATCTTCATAACCACATGTTTTTTGTTTAAAAGATACTTTAAGTTTTCTACGAGGATAAGAAACCCAACCATTGTAAAGACTTAGAAAACAATTACTACCATAAATCCTAAAAAGTAATATAAAGTTGGTATTATACCAAGCACACGTTTATTTCTCCCAGTGCAAATGTATCTGTCTGGTTCCATGTCTTATTCATGAAATTGAAGCCCAGACAGAGCCTGTGGCTGTATTAATTGCTCCAAGTGAACGAAGGAAAACTGACCTCGGGGAAAACAAATAAAGCTGCTGACCTCTTTGTAAACGAGCTTAGGCATTAGTAACAAGTTGGTTTTATGGCTGTAGATAAGATACAACTGAGGAAATAGGAAAGGGGTTATAATAGGGGTTAGATGCCTCTTGACCTTTTAGAAATATTAATTTACAATAATATTTGGTGGTTAAATTGGTAAGAAGAAGCCTAAATACACAAACTGTTTGACCTTTTCAAGCAAATATAATAAATCAAGCTTTATTAATTGGAAGTAATTGATATCATGAAAGAATACGCCAAATTCGGTACATCTTAATTAAAATTAATTAAAGGGTCGCTCTTTGGCAACCCTTTTTATTTCTTTTGTGTACAGCTTTATTTCTTTAAATTAAACTGAGATGTGGGATGATGTCCGTCGCTTATATTGTCGTCCAGACTTAGATTTTCCTGTCCATTTTTCAACTTCTTCGTTTCCACTTTTCCACTTCCATTGCAGCTTTGATCGATTGGCTGCGGAGCATCATTGTCTGCGCATTAAGCTGCTGGGCGATTGTTACTACTGCGTCTCCGGACTCCCAGAACCCCGTCCGGATCACGCCCATTGTGCCGTCGAAATGGGTCTCGATATGATTGACGCCATCGCGTGAGTATCCGTAGTCGTAGCCGTATCCGTATCTACAAACAGAAACACAAAGGAAAACTCCTGTTTTGCGGCCTTGTTGTGGTTGCACAGGGGAAAATGGGTTCTTTGAGATACTTGTTATTTCAGTTCCAATATTTATATAGAATAATTGCTTGCTTTGAGAAGAATGACCCAAATTAACGTATTTTTAAAAGGATTTTATCTAAAAGCAATGTCTTTTTACTTAACTTCTTTAGGCCAACTAGCTAAATAGTAAAGAAAAACTAATCAACGGAAATTAAAAAAATATCTTAAATAAATAAAGAAATATATCTTATTCATTTACTCGATTTATTTAACTTAAATTTAAACCAACTTTAATTACAGAAAGAAGATTGATTTTTTGACTTAACGCCGATTTCCCAATGTCCTGTTAGGGTTATAATTATGTCTCTGTCAGAGAAAGTTAACCAGAAGTTAAATAGTTTTTGAAGGCAAATCCGTTTTGAGGTGATGGTATTTAAAAAATGTAAATAGAATAGAATATAATAAAAACTAAACTAGGTTTCCGGTATACTAGGTCTTAAGTAATATCAATTTAACTATATGACAAAAGTTAACATGACATTGAGAAATTGGTGCTAAGTAGAAATTTAAAATTTTTTAAAAATACCAACAGTAGTTGTAGTTTAAATACTAAATAAGTACGGTTAATTTTTAAAGTGCAGCCAATACAATGCTCCTTTGTTTCCTTCCCATTTTGCAGCCTGGTCCGCGAGGTTATGGCCGTGAATGTGAACATGCGAGTGGGCATCCATACGGGCCGGGTGCACTGCGGCGTTTTGGGCCTGGTCAAGTGGCAGTTCGACGTTTGGTCCAATGACGTTACTCTGGCCAACCACATGGAGAGTGGTGGCATACCCGGGTGAGTCAATCCCTAAACCTCTAATCTTCTAGCTGAAATTAATTGATCCCGCGTCTTGGGCTGTCATCGTTTGACACTTGAAAAGCGTTTCCATTGTCTTGGTCTTGGTCCTGGGAAATCCGCAACAATTCAATTCATTTTGCTGCCAATCCCCTGGCAAATTCAATTTAATCTTCTGCCAACAAAACCAATTCAATCCATTGAAAGTCCCGATTCGGTCAGTTTGAGCCACTTCTGGCGACAGCTGTGAATAATGGCTCGTAATATCCTCCAACCACCCAAAAACTCTGGCCAATAAAAGCATTGGCGAACAATTAAAGCCAACTTGTTGTGGTGGTCCCCAAAGTTGTATTGTCTGAAGTACAACCCATAAAGGCACTTGAAAGTCCAAAAGTGTCGCCGCGCTGCGGTTATCCTTCGTCCTGCGTCCTTCGTCCTTTGGATCTAGGGTGCGCCTCTCCATTGTGGGCTTAATCGTTGTAATTGCCATGCACACACAGTATTTTGCATGCGTCTTGTGGTTAACTGAAGGCGTCAAGTTATTGGTAACTTACGAGTGCCTGCCGACCCCTTTCGAAAGACCATCCTTCTATGGTCCCTCCCCAAAAACCCCACCCAATCGATTATGGGCCACCACTTGCAGGCCACGCCCACGCCACCCACTCCGCCCACCACCTCTGATAAGTGCCCCACAACAATATTTTGTTGCTGTTGATTCAGCTGCACTCACTTCAACACTTCAGCAATTTGTTTCTGCCCGCATACCCCGGCATCCAAAGTTCAGGTTTGCGAAGGTATGTTAGGCAAGCTAGAGCTATATAATTTATAAGAAATATTTCAGATGGGTTAAGCTAATCACGAAAGTAGAACTTGATATTAGAAACACAAGTTTAAACGTAAATATGTACCAAACTATTGTTTTTTAAAGTCAAACTTACTATTTGTAATAACAAAAGTTAGCAATACAGATTATGACATTAAATTTAAATACGTAGTTTTTTGTGTGTACTTAAAAAAATTATCCTTAATTTTAATGCTGATATATACATTTTGTATCTCCAAGATATTTTATAATTTAAAATTTAAAAAGACCTTGCAAAGTAGAGATTAGAAATAAATAATAATAATAATAATTTCATCATTAAATCAAATTTGGATTTCCAAAATATTTTATAATTTAAAATTTAGTAAGACCTCCTTGCAAAATACAAATGAAAAATAAGTATCAAGCATTTAATTTCCTGATTAAATCAAATCCTGAGCTTTGATTTTTTTTTTAGATCAAGAATTCAGTAACCAAAGAACTTACTAAAGTATTCATATAAGCTAACTCTTAGAAACAAAAAAAAATATAAACTGTTAGGTGTATTTTATTTCCTGCAATATGTGTGTATTAAACCCTTGAGGACACTCTTCTACCCACTTGAACTTGCGATGGAACTAGATGGAGAAAGTGTCCCACAATAATAGATAACAATGGGTCGAAGTACACTTGTACTACTTTCTCCGTTACCAGCTCTTGCCTTCTACACTTTCCTTCAGTGTTGATTTTTTGTGAATATTCACGCTGCGACTTTGGGTGGAAGTTTAAGTAACTGTTGAGTTTATTTGGGTCAGCCGGGCGACGGCAGCTCGTTTGTTAGCCCTGTCCCGGGTGAAATTAAAAGCAAATAGCTGCAGTGGGTGTTGGCTGTTGGGTGAATTTGAACCCAAACTGTAGCCCAAACCCACGCAGAAACCCAAGGCAAAAGCAATCGCCTCAGCTGGATGCCTGATAAGCTGCAATTTTAGCCGAGAGTTGAGCGAGCGTGGCATGTAAAAAGTTCGTTAGCGGCAGGAGGAAGTTGCCCTGGGGAATGTGGACGGACTGCAGCAATCCATAACAAAGCGTCGTGTAATTATCAATAGAATCAACAACAGGCAGTTACTTGGCAGCCAAAGGATGTGGGTCCCAAGAAGCCAGAAGGACGAGCATCTGTTGCGGGCTTTCGCCTCGAACAGCATTAAAAACTGTTTAGTCAACTCGGAAAAATCACGAGTAAGGGGAAAATGCAGGCGGTTGAATTGTGGGCGTGGAAAATGGGTTGCTGCGGCAGCTTGTGTGGCATGTAATGTGAGTGTTTCCTGTGGTTAACTGCATTTCTCCTCAACCACACGAGCGAAAAAAATAGTAAAGAAAACCCTAAGCTGATAGAGATAATCATCAGAATGTGTCCTCTACTCTATTTTATTTTATTTTGCGACTTTTCCAGACGCGTTCACATCACCAAGGAGACCCTCAAATGTCTGGATGGCGATTACGAAGTGGAGGTCGGCAATGGAAACGAACGCAATTCGTATCTCAAGGATCATCAGATAGAAACGTACCTAATTGTGCCGGGGGATATATACAGACCAGTGAGTCAACCATTTTTCTAATAAATAATTAGTAAACTTTAACTGGTAATGAATTTTTTATTATCAGCACAAAAAGTCCCGCAATCGCCTGCAGGTCAATGGCAATATATCCAAAGAACTGCGCATGATGGGCCATGGAACAGCCCAAAAGCACACTTCCAAGTAAGTTAATTTCATACTTTTGTTGAAATAACTTTTTCCTAATTATATTATTTTTATTTAACTGCAGATTTGGCTTTGGCGACAGTTCGGAGAGCACTAAGGATCCCGAGGACGAGGTGAATGAGTATCTCATGCGAGCCATTGATGCCCGCAGTATTGATCATCTGAGGGCCGAGCATTGTCAGTCCTTGTTGCTTTGCTTCAAGGATAATGTGCTGGAGAGAAAGGTAAATGTCTAATTTCTTAAAAAAAGAAGAATTTCTGAAATAGTATGAAAAATACCATAGCCTACACTCCAAGGAAGATAATATCAATTTCTACCTTGAGACTAAACACTGCTAGGAGTGAAAAATAGGATAAAGTTAGCAAAGAATTTTGTATTTAGTTATTCTCTTACTTATTTATATTTTTTTTTGTCAGTAATTTATTTGATATTATTATAAACGAATAGCTTAGACTTATATATTCTTATATAGACGAAATTAATGCTGTTATTAAATAATTTCACACTCCCAATTCGAATAAACAATGTTCATTAAATATATTTTAAAGCTCATGAATTAACTAAATAGGGCTTGGTATATTAAGGTTTATATTCTTTAATCAAATTTTGCATTTCATCTTAATTATAAACTAAGTTGTTTTCGTATTATTGCCTTAAAAAAAGCTTTGGCCACCTCATAAGCATAAATTCTGAATCTAAAAAGTTGTTTGCCCTCCTTGTTGTGTGTTCCTCGTTGGTTAAAGTCATAACAAGGAGCGAATGCTTATTTCTGGGCTATTGTTCCCCTTGGCCAGTGAACAAATGTACATAATGTATATCTAAGCCGTGCTTTTACCACTCTGTTTTTCAGTACGCCAGCGAACCGGATCGCATGTTGTGTGTTTACTTCTACTGCAGTCTGTTGGTTTTGCTCGGCACCAGCATAATGCGGCTGGTGGTGTTCCAGAGGTGAGTTGGTGGGGATTCAGATTTCAGATTTCAGATTTCAGATGGGACATGAATGGCAGCCACCATTCCCAGATGATTTTTTGGGGCGTCCAAGCGAGGCGCTGTTATGTATGTACGAGTATATATGCCCGCCGGCCTGGCCACCTCCTGGCAAACTCTTTTGCATCCCACACTGCGTATACGTGTTGCCCAAAAAGTTGCTGTCCCATTTAAATTGGCAACCTGCTCCTCCATTCCAGCTCCCTGCTGACTTTGGCCTTGTCCACTGGAGCTCTGTTGCTGCTCGGGTTTCTGGTATTTCTGGTGGCATGTCATAAAATCAACTTTCAGGTGAGCACACAAAGAGTTTGACGGGGGGGGAAATATGTTGACAATCTGCATTTTTCATTCGGCGGAATGCCAAACTTTTTAGCTGCCAGCGGACATCAAACGCTTCTCATTGCGCATTCATAGCAATCGCAGGATATCGCAGTTTTTCGCCTTCGCGAGTGTCGCCCTGATTGTCCTTACCACTCTGCTGGCCATGGTGAGTGTGTATATTTTAATCGCCCCATAATATCCCATAAATATTTAAGTGCATTTCAGGGGGGACAAGCAAGAATGGTTTAATTAAATTGAAAATGACTTTTAAAGTGGCTTGAATCACTAAAAAATAAATTAATGGGAATTTATTACAGCTTGTTTAAATATTTATTAGGAATTCCGGATTATTTGAGTTGGTTTAAATTAAATTAATAGGAGTTCATTAAAGTTTATTTAAATATTCAATAGGATTTCCTAATTAATTAGGTGGCCTTCAACAATTAAAAATAAATTATTAGTAACTTTTTAATGTTTACTTAAATATTCAAAAGGAATTGATAACATGTATTACATGTTGTGATTATTTTATAAATACAACACACGTTTTACATTTTGTTCAATAGATTAAAACAAATATTGATTTTATTTTTTATCTGTGACTTTACAGAATTACACAATAAAACTGATTTTCAACAATATTTACTTTAATTTATACAAAACACTTTAAATATAAATCAAACTTTTTTCTACATACTCTGCAAATGTAATAAAATTGCCAAGTATTTGTCAAACAATTTTTTGCTCTCTATTTGTGTCAAAAGTGTTATTTCCGCTATGTCACACACGAATTTTGGATGACTTTAATGCGGCATACGCAAATAGAATGGTCTAAAATAGAAATTTCGGGATTATTTTCCATTTCCAACATAAAAAATGAATCCTAACTGCCTTAAGGCCATTTTCCCTCTGTTCTCGGGTCCGAATCAAGTTTTTCCTACTTGTTTTTAGCCATCATTTGCTGTGCATTTGTGTGAGCTCAGGGTAAAAGTTTTCCGACTAGAAATTCCAGAAACAATGGGCGGGGGTGTGTGGAAATGGTAAGCCACCTCTTAGGAGAAATAAAAATAAAATTTACGTTTTGTAGTCCAAACAAAATCGGGGGCGCGCTTGTTGCGTTCTCCGAGTTGGGTTTGTTTTGGGGCGCGTCAAAACAAAAGTTTTTCCATTAAAGTTCGGCATTGGGCCAAGAACATCGACACGGCATCGAGGGGCAATGGCAACCAAGGAATCCTGGCCCCAGGACCTCCCTCGCATGATGATAAAGTGGGTTGAATGGGCAACTTGTTACCTGCCCCATGGCTTTTGTCTGCAGCAAGTCTCGGGCCATGGGTTCTTTGACATTTCGTTGTCACTTTTGGGTTCTTATGTTTTTGTTTCGGGCCACCTTTAATGGCACTTTAAGAGCCATTCGTATTCATTTTGGGCCTCGCTTAATGGCCAATCTCGCGGGAGCAGGACTATGTAGGACCATGCAGGACCAGGACCTGTTGGCTGCTCGTTAAAATCTGCCCGCAGATCGTTAAACTTGTCTAATGCGAATTTCATGGCCGGACAGCTAATTAGCCGTGCTTTTCTCTCCACAGTTCCAGGAATCGGTCCGCCAACTGGAGTTGCTGCAAAGGAGGCGCTTTTGGCTGGATGTTTACGGGAATGTCAGTCTGAATGCCACGCACTCCAACACGGAGATGCACGACCCCGAGGACCCCTTGTGCGACTTCTACCTGGCATACAATGTGAGTGAGTGCTTCGGGGAAAAAGTATGAATATACCTACAGATAGAAGATAGATTTTCCTTGAGAGGAGCTAGTCTCCATAGTCCGGAATCAGGTCTCCTGATTATGAAGAGAAAATGCGCAGAAATAACTAAAGTATATCATATCATGTTTAGCCTCTTTCTTCTTACCATAGCAAAAACCCTTTGAAGAAGATTCACCTTAAGTTTTGAACTTTCTGAGTCAATTGCAATTTTTTTTTTAAACTTATAAATCAGAAAAAATTGAATAAATTTTTGCAAATAAAAAATATTAGCTAATTTAAAGAAATCGGATCAACATTTTTAAAACTCATATATACTTTTTATAGAATTTACTTATAGATCACAGCATTTATATTTGATGTTCATATGTTTATCATCATATCTTTTTCATAAAATCATAACTACATAATACCTAATTTTTACATTTCCGTCTTACCAAAGCAAGAACTTTTCGAAGAAGTTTCAACCTAAATTTTTGGAAATTCTAATTCAATTGCATCTTTTTCAATAAATTTTATAAATTAGAAAAAAAAATTGAACACATTTTAGCAAACAGAAAGCATAAATACTTGTTACAGCATTTACTTTTACATCATAGGATGTATATAAGATGATCATCATCTTTTTAATTTAATCAGAACTAGACAGTGCCTAAATTATCAGGAAATAACAAATATCTATATAAATCTATCTGTTCTGAGCTAATATTGAAAAATATGCTTATATCATGTTTTTTTTATTGGAGATATTTAGATGGTTTTGACTACAACCCCACTGATTTTTTGCCTGCGTTCTAGGATATATTATGTTTTTCCTTAGACTCACTTGTAAGAACTGTATTTAATAAGCAGTTATTAGGTCTAGAATTGGAAGTACCCATATTTCAGCCAGCAAGGGCGGGTTCAGATGTCTTGTTTAGATGTCAGCACATGTAGCACATATTGCTTTTGAGGGCAGGGGTAGGGTCCCAATTGTTCTGTGTTTATTTGCTGATGGGGCGGGCCCTGAATATATAATTCCTTGATGCGCCTCCCCGCCGCCCACAGACGTTCCTGCTGCTGACGCTGCTCTCGATGATGAGCTGTGCCACCTACCAAGTGCTGCGCATCCTGCTGAAGCTGCTGCTGCTCCTCCTGGCCTCCGGCAGCTACATGGCCTGCTCCACCTACTTGTACTCGCGCAGCAGGCAAATAAGCCACGAGTTGGCGTAAGTATATATACTCACAACCAGCATTCCGCATTCAGCAGCTGCGCTATCTCTGAATGAAAACGAATTATGGCGTAATGCAATTTCAGTTGGCTTCAGTGGGTTAAGGGTGTTAAGGGGGTCCTTTGGGGGGGTCAGCACCAGCTGAAATGCATTTACGGCAGCCGCAAACTGCATTAAAATTGTATTTAGCACCAGCACTGAATGCAGCTGGATTCATTTATCAACTGTCGCAGTAACTTGCCCTTCTTCTTTTTGCCGTATTACCCTTTAATGGACCGGAATAACTCTGTCATTGTCGCACCTTTTTCTTACCAATGAACATAGGAACGAGGAGGCCCTGCTGCGCTACATAATTGATTCCATCTTCCTGTTCGCCTTCATGCTGGCCCTGATTTTCCACAGCCACCAGACGGAGGCCACTTACCGCCTGGACTTTATTTGGAAGCTGCAGGCCACGGGTGAGACAAGTTTAATTATGCTGGGAAAGTGGGCAGTGAAAGTGCGCAAAGGAAATTAGGTGGGCAAAGGGTGCTAATGGCGGCCGAGGAAAAGTTTCCAACTTGGAAAATGTTCAAAACAAGTTTATACCATCAAAGGGAATAGTGGAATTCACTTTAGAGGTTTTTAACTGCGTTCCCTGTTAATTTGGATTGAATTTACTTCTCAAGTTCTTTCACAGTAGTTAGGTAAAATATTTATGAAGGTTTGCTAGTTTAAAGCAGCTTGATTAAATCAAAATATTTTTTAAAAAGATTTTTGACCGATTTCATACCATCAATCACCAATTAAGTTTCTAAAAATTCCTAAAATGCAAGGAAACAATCGGGATCACAGTTGCTTGAACTACTTTTTAAATACCCTTTCAAAGTTAGAATTATTAAGGGAAAAAGCTTACTCATTTTGTATTTTTTTTTATTTGGAAACTTTTTTTTATATGGCATCATTAAAAGGGATCCTTTAATGCATTATCGTAATCCAAACAACACTTTTTAAAGCAACTATAAAAATGTTTTCCAAACAATATATGTAGGTTCCCATATAAACTACCTCAAACAACAAACTTTCCAACATAGCCCAATAAGAAACCCTATTTATGTTAGACCTTCAGTGTTAGCAAACTTTAAAATATCAAGTATACGCACAGTTGCAAACATTCCCCAAAAATTTACAAACGCATTTGGGATGTTCCCCTTCAATCCCCCAGAAGCCCCTCAAATTGTTGTGATTAAAATTCGAGAGTTGGAAAGTTGAGAGCCGTTTTCCGTTTGACACACTGTCAGTGATTTGAAATGATTCCCTCTGAGGAAAAGCGACTGAGGGATTGGGAAAACTTTCAGCGCATAAGCCACTTCATTAGTATTAGTGCACAATTGCACTTCCACTCACAAAGACACCCACACACACAGACTCAAAAAACACAATTTCCCCCGCTTTTCCCATTTCGGGGAAATGGCAATGGCAATGTGTTTTGAGTTCTGTGCTTTCTGTTTCGGCGCTTTTACTTTCCGCTTCGGTAAACTGATAAACTGATATTTCAATTTCACGCTTATGTTTTTTTTGCCCTCTTTCTGGGCTTCCGCCGCCGTTTGTTGCGTTTTTTTCTTGTTTTTTTCAGAGGAAAAGGAGGATATGGAGCACCTGCAGGCTTATAACCGAAAACTGCTCGAAAACATTCTGCCCGTCCACGTAGCCGAGCATTTCCTGAGCCGCGAAAAGCACCTTGACGTGAGTATACAAAGCAACTAATATTAAATACAACCATGGTCAAACAAAATATTACACAAAATTTTATACCAATGCTGGCTGGCTTTTGTAGGTTATTTTACCGCATAAAAACTGTGTATTTAGAAAGAAAATAATATAAATTAAAAATCGATATAATGTTTAAGCTGTCAATTTTAGAAAATGTTTAGACAAAATGATATTATTATATGTATCTATACATTTTATTGATTAGAATTTATAAGTTTTTCAATTAATTATTATTTATATATGTAGTAAATTGTTAACACAACTACTTCTAAGATTTCAAAATTTAGCTAGTTTACGGCGAAATAGTTATATTTTCAATGTTTTAAGTTCAATGGTATAAAAAATGTGCTTTTCAAAATTGTGTATTTTGAAAAATATAATGGATATTAAAAATTTATACGACAAAAGGTCATTGTAATAAAATGCTGAGATTATATTTAATATATTATTTAATTTAATATATTTATTTAATTTTTAGAACTTAAAACTTTTTAAGAGTAGATAAAATTTTAAGGTAATGGCTATTTATATAGTACAGCTACATTTTATTATACCAAATTTAACTACTTTCTTGACAAAATGTTAAGGTATTTGCCATATTTAAAGTTCAGTGGTGTCAGACCAGGCACTTTTCAAATAAAATGCTTAAAATGTAAAGTAAATATGTAATCAAGAATTAGTTAATTTGCATAACCATAATGCTGAGCACAACTGTACATACTATGCATACATTAATAGGGTCATATAGTGGCCATATATTCATGAGGCATGCAGGCAAACTGTTCAACATATTAAAAAACTTTGTGGCTGTGAAATCTGCGCCCAATGTTGAGGAGCATAAGGAAAAGGAGCGGGGGTAAGTTGGTGCTAAAGGATTCAGATTGGCGAAAGGTCCTGGTGAAAGAGGGGTTTTTGGTCAGGGGAAGGGAACTGTGATGTGACCACGTGTATGCGGCCTTAAACCATTTCGCTGCACTTGCCGCAAGGTGGGAAAGCGGGAAATCAGGGGCGTGGCAGCCTCCCGCATTAAATGCAAATTCAACAAGCTTAGCAGCCGCATTTGATGGCCAACGAGCAGCCACTTTGGCAGCGGCACAAAAGCCAATGAGCTCAACTTGAGCCTGGCAAACAAAACCACACTGGACAAATGTTGGTTTGGGAATTTTAATTATATTTTATTTGCTTAAACCAATGCCAACTTAAGTGTATACATGAGTACTTTTGAGTCTTTAATATTCAATAGGCATCTTGAATAAATTTCACTTTAAATAAGGTCTTTTAAAATATACTATATTTTGTATAATGTAATCCTAGAGAAATAATTGTAACGTATATTAACAAAAATCCAGCTTAACTTTTTTGAAAACATTAGTATAACATTTTAAAGAAACAATGTTAAGGACCAGCAATAAGTAGTTTTAAATTCACACAAGGTTACTTGAATTTCTCAAACCTTATACATATGTAATTCAAAAGTTTCCACCTCAGTGCACAGCCATAAGCAGATGCAAGAAACTCTCCAGCCAGAATCTAATTGAATTTTCGATTGGCTTGTTGCAGGACCTGTACCACGAGCAATGCGACTCGGTGTGCATCTTGTTCGCCAGCATTCCCAACTTTTCCGAGTTCTACGTGGAACTGGAGGGCAACAACGAGGGCGTCGAATGCCTGCGACTGCTCAACGAGATTATCGCCGACTTCGACGACCTGCTCAGCGACGAGCGCTTCCGGTGAGTCCCCCCACATTTCCGTTTCCCCTTGCTGTCCTAAACGGTTTTAACCACTTTGCGGGTCGGGCCATTTCCGGCCACCATCTTCCTTCCTCCTTCCATGCGGCAGCTGCATCGAGAAAATCAAGAGCACGGGCGCCACTTACATGGCGGCATCCGGACTCACGGCCAACACCTGCGACCGGGTCAACTTCAGCCACGTGACCGCCATGGCCGACTACGCCCTCCAGCTGTTCGACAAGATCGAGGAGGTCAACATGCACTCCTTCAACAACTTTCGGATGCGAATAGGTGAGCTATCTTTGACTTTTCGACCTAAAATTTCCCCTAGATTTGGGGGGAAACTTAGAATGTTTTAAGATTATCATCAATATAAATATTTTTCACTGGTGTTTACTTACTTAGAAATAAATCCATTTCATAGGAAATTTAAACATGTTTGCTTTGCTATCATCTTTGAATATAGAACTAGAAATTAATGTAATATTTATATATTATTTTTATATGAACATTGATTATAATTTGAATTTTTTTTATTAATTTAATAAATACTTCAAATAAATACTATATGACTAAAATCGTATTTTAGATATTCTACCTTAATTTAAACATTATAAAACAACGCACTTTAATATGTTCTTCATGCAACAGAATATTCTTTTATTAAATTCAAACATTAAATAAGATATTTTAAAATATATATTTTCAACGTACAGTATTCAATGCCAAATATTTTTCCTCCTACATTTAACACTCTACTTTCACTACATTTTATTCCTTGTTTTTGTGTTTGCAGGGATTAACATTGGTCCTGTGGTGGCCGGGGTCATTGGAGCCTGCAAGCCCCAATATGACATTTGGGGCAATGCCGTCAACGTGGCCTCGCGAATGGACTCCACAGGTCTGGTGGATCACATCCAGGTGAGTCCTGATTAAATCATCAGCTAATCGCGTGCACTCAGCTGGATTTTATGCTGTCTCCACTTTCACCATCTAAAGTTTACGCTTGTTGCAAAAACTGGGAGATTCTGGTTGGGAAAGTTTTTTGGCAAGGGCGAAATGATGGCGGGGGCGGAGCCACGCCCACCTAATCAATGGCCACCTGGGCTGACCACTTTAGGGCCAAAGTTTTTAGTGTCGACGAAAACTTTTTGCCAAGGCAGACAGACACAAAAAGAGCACAGATATACATAGGTGCAAAAATGCGATAAAGATATTTAAGAAATGGGGTGGACCTTTTTTTGAGAATGATTTATAATTTGAAAGCCAATTAATTTACTTTTTTATAGATAATACTTACTTACTATTTGTTTTTTTAAGTTTCTATGCTAAATTCGATTCAAAACAAATTTAGGGCCACAGAAAAAATTATTAAACAAAGAAAATATGTATAAGAAAACTAAATATACATTTATTATATAACACATAACACTTTAACATAACTACTTCAGGGAAATTAATGGTCCACCCTAATACAGTAATGTGTGGATGTACAGATACAGATAAAAATGGGCACTTGATTTTATTTGCCGTGCTTCAATGCTGTCAATAAAGCGAAGCAAAGGCGAAGAAAATTTGCAAAGGAAATAAATTATTAAGCGGGCGACGCTCGAGGGGATTGGGTTCCTGGGTGTTATCATGAAATATGTAGCCACGGGTGAGTGGGTGAATCAATAAAAGCTGAGCCAGCTCCTTCTGCAGCCATTGAACTTGTCAGCCGGAATTTATGTTATCGCTTGTTCTCCTTTTATCATTCCACCAGGTGACCCAGGAGATGCAGCAGATCCTTGAGGGGCGCGGCTTCGAGCTCACCTGCCGGGGCAGCGTGGATGTGAAGGGCAAGGGCTCCATGATCACCTACTTCCTCAAGGGCAAGAAGCCCATCGAAGTCAAGGAGGACCTGGCCCAGGCCGAGATTGAGCCACCCAAGACCTTGACTTTGGTCAAGGAGCCGGATAAGACGACCACCGATAAGGAGAAGCAGCTGGAGCAGGCCAATGAGGATTCCTTGGAGCAGGAGGATGACCTGCTGCCCTCGCCCGACATCGATATGAACTCCAATATGCAGAATCTGACGGCGCAGAGGAGGAAGTCTCTCTGCCGACAGCACAACATATCCTCTTCCTTCGGCACCACCGTGAGCAGCTCCACGGGAATAACCCCTAGTATTTCCAACAGCTCCAGTGTGGTCACCATTGGCGCCCTGCCCACCATCCTGCGCAGTGGTAACCCAAATCCCACAACCACTGACAGTTGCTCGGAATGTGGAGGAGCCAGCAAGTCCCTGGCCACGCCCACTGCTCCGCCAAGGACCCTGGTGGCGGATCTCAAGGATGAGATAGCCCGAGATGAGAAGATCGGTTTGAAGGACTCCATTGAGAACCTGGAGATTCTGCTGAAGAACAACATCAGTCTGTCGGATCTGAGCAACAAGCAGCAGCAGAATCTCCGGGGTGAGACGTGCAGTTCCACCACCACCACTCTGAGGAAAAGGGACACCATTGTGAGCTTCAATGTGACGGAGACGGTGACCACCACAGCCACACCCTTCTCCTCCTCCTCGGGGTCATCCAACTCCTCGGCGCAGCCCAAGAAGCGTCGTTCGGTGACCACCATTGCGGCCAGTTTCACCACCTCCACAACCACTAGATTGTTGTCCAACGAAAGCCAGAGCTCCACGCAGACGGCGCCGGGAACCCTGGAGAGCGGTGGCTCCTCGGTGCCTGGCCAATCCTCCACGGAGAACTCATCGCAGGACTGGCAGCCCCGAACAGCCTCACTGGAACCCAACCGAAGTCCCATCAAGACCTCGCAGTCCATGAGCCCCATCGGCCAGCTGACCACCGACATCTTTGTCCTGCCCAACAGCCGGAGCATGGTGCTCATCAGCAGCACGAACGGATCGGTTTCCGGCATGGGAACTGGGGGCGGGGGCAGTAGCCCGAGGACCGGTCTCCTGCAGGATGTCAGCACGTAGAGGATGGGCAGGCAGCCGTGTAAATATGTACAAAACCGCCGGCACTTAGCCGAGGCTTATAAGCCTCTATAGAGGTAGCAGTATATCTAAAGGTAAGGGTAAGGTAAGGATAGCGGTAATGATGGTAATGGTTAGGGTAAGATGAGGTGGCTTGAAGATTGATTGGGCTTGCCAGTATTCAGTACAGTCGAACTTCTTTAGCTGGGTACTTTTCTGTTTTATTAAAACCAAGGTCATCTTTAAGGAATAGAACTTCAATTTATATGATGGCTATAATATAAGATAGTATCATTATTCAAAACATCGACAAAATACCTATTCTAAACTTTATACTTCTGTATTATGAAAGACTTTATAATTTTTTGAAATATGAAAGCAAGAAATATACTTTGGTAGACTATAGTTATACCAACCCTTCTTAAAAAGTATCGATCTACAGAAGTTCGACTTTACTTCCAGCTTTTCCCTCTCCCTCGTATGATCTCGCATTTATTGTAGCTTTACATGTTCCTCAGTTAGCGTTTCAGGGCACCAACAAACAAGTAAATTCCATATCACACACATAACTAAAGTACGAAAGCAAGTTTTGCACTTCAACTGGGTACCAAAGAGCATTGTTAGAACTGTTAGGCATTCGATAGGTTGTAAGTTCGGAGGAAGGTCCTTGGAAAGGAGTGTAGGTGTGTAAGGTTCCTAAGTGTGTTTGCAGTAGAGTGTAAATTTAAATGGCATAAGTGTGCAAAAGAAATCGAATTTAATGTTTATTGTCAAACGAACAAACAAACAAAGTACTACATGTTGTTGGGGAATGCAATTGTAAACTATAAATTAATAAAATTCTTAAAAATGTATTTCGATGAGTTTTACATTGGTGTTTAACAGATTCCATATTAAAAATACTTTCCAATTAATTTCATAATTAAATATTAAATCAACTTCACAGGAAGTTTTAAATGTAATGTTACGATGAAAGGTCCAATTGCATTCCCCGAAAGACACCACACCAAGCTAAGGAACAACATTAAATAACAATTTCAATGGAACTATATTCCAAGCATCACCATATCGATAAAAGGTATTTTTTGTGGCTATCCAGAGCTGGTGTTCTTTCATAAACCAAAACAAAAATCTGTCAATTGAAGAGCAACAAAAGAACTATATTGAACTGTTGCACAAACGATATTTACTTGAATATAAGTTTAAATAAACAGAGTATCAAATACGAGTAATGTTAAATGTTAAAACAGTATCGTTTATATGTAACGTTAAATGTGTTTCAATGTCTGTATGTCTCAATGTTGCTGAAAGCATCAACACTAAATGTAATTATAACTTTAGAATGGATGCAACATACATTATGCGTAAACAAAAAACGGAAACCAAAGAAAAAACATACAAAATTCTCGCTGTGATTTCTATGAAGAAGATGAAAAGATGCATAAATTATTTTATAACCTTTTGTTACTTAGTTTTAACTCGCAAATTTTACGAAAGCCTCTCGGCCACTTTGACTACGGCTAGCTACGAACTATAATTTAACTGAGAATCAAGTATCCTATATAGTTTAAACATAAGTGTATGCGTGTATTGAACTTGATGTTGATTAGCTTCGATGTTCAGTTTCAAGTTAATAAGGACAAAAATAAACCCAGTCAATGTAAATGTTTCATTGTGCAGTTAACAAGGAAAATAAAAACCAAATGTGTTAATAAATGGCGCTATTCATTTGGAAAATCTAGAAATTATTTATTGGATGAATTCATAGCTTGGTAGTTATTATATTTACAGCACTCGAGCTGAGAGCTCTCACAGCTTTCGGGCCCTTCGCCAAAGACAGTAGTAACCCAGTAAATGGAACCCGAAATAGAGCCCCACCATAGCCAGTAAATTCCTATAGACATTGCTCTCGCTGAAGCTGTACTTGTCCAAGACATCCTGACCCGTGTGAAAGCAGGGCAAGTCGGCACTCTCCTGGAAGCAGGCTATAAAAAAGATTAATAACGAATCCTTTAAAGTGGGTTCTGTCCCTAACACTTACTTATATTCTGCACTCCCGACCACTGAGCAACGGTCATAGCCTCATTGGCATAAAGCATCCAGGAGAGAAATTGGGTCCACCAAAATGCCACTGGTAAGGAGCTGTAAATAAGTATACCCTTGACAGCTATGGTTTCCCAAACACAATTTAAACATCACTCACTTCACTTGTATAAAGATACCCGAGGTGATCATAAATATATAATCCAGTGGCACCAAATAAGCCATTGCCAGCGGTACGGAGTTAAAAGCCGTGGAGAAGAAGCAACCACAGGCTGTGGCCACATTCATCACCAGCACCACACTCATAGCAGTCACTCCGAAGGCATAGAAGGTGGACCTCAGACCCGTCAGCCAGTAGCAGATTATCACGAATATAAAGGGCTCAATTATCATTCCAGGTAGCTAACAAAGTACAAGTAAAATAAATTAATATGGAAGGTAAAGTGTAACATAACTTTTATAACTCGAACCATACATCTCCAAAAAATTACAGAGACTTCGAGCTATAGAGTTAAGATCAATAGTAATAGATTTTAGATTTTGTAACTCGAACCATCTGCCCCAAAACAAATTAGGTAATAGAGACTTCGAGATAAAAAAAATATCATTTTCTATATTGCCAATAGAACTAGTTCCCTTTACAGAGACTTTGAGTTAGTGATGTTTGAGTTACGGAAGAAAACATCTGCAAGTGATGTTTAGAACACTCTTCAGCACTTACCAATGCCAGAATATTGGCAGTATAATACTGTCCCGTGGAATACAATCCAGATCGGGTTTCCCTCATGAAGAGCGGAAATCCCTGGGGAAAGAGGTTAAGCACGGAGTACATGGGATGGTAGGTATTCTCCGATATCATGATGAAAAGTGCTCCCTGCACCGCCTGAACTCCCAGCTGCGATGGTTCCGTGGTGCCGGCAAAACAAGCTCCGATAATAAATGCCATGGCGATCTTCTGAACGAATCTCAACCACTGAATCGTGGGATCCCTGAACAGGGTAAGTGATGCCCTCAGCCACACCACGTGGAAACGTTTATACCAGGCCACGCCCCTGAAGGACTCTACCTCCGTGTCGAAGGGGAAGTTGCCCGACTGGGCCATATGGATCTCCAGATTCACCAGCATATCCCTCTGCTTGGCCGCCGAACTGACGGCAAACTGATCACAAAGGTGCTGAGCCGATCTTTGCGAGGCCTGCTCATAGCCAGGATCGGTGGCCAGGACGCCAATGAGAAAATCCGCCGGATTGTATGCCTCCGGGCAGTAGTAGCCATGATTGGCGAAGAAACTCAGGGCGTGCTGTGGCGATCCCGTGAAGGCCACTCTGCCATCGGCCAGCAGCATCACATTGTTGAAGTTGTCGAAGAGCTGCGAACTCGGCTGGTGAATGGTGCACAGGATGGTGGTGCCCTTTTGGGCCAACTCGTACAAGGTGGCCACCAGCTGTTGGGCACTGTAGGAGTCCAGGCCCGTGGTGGGCTCATCGCAGAACAGGATCACCGGATTGTTGAGCAGCTCCACGGCGAAGGCCAATCGCTTGCGTTCTCCCCCCGAAAGAACCTTCTTGTCATCGCCACTGCCAATTCGAGTTTGGGCCGCCGATAGAAGGCCGGTTCGCTCCAGAAGTTCGTTGATTATAAGACGACGTTCCTCTTTGGACACCCGACGATCCAGGCGAAGATGGGCCTATAATGGAAGGGGATAGTATTATTTAGAATATAGTATATTAATCCGAAATCGGAATATAAAAATCAGGTGACTTCTGATGTTAGTAATATCGTTATTCAGCTTAAATTGTTTTAGTAAAGCTGCAAAATTGCTTAGTTCTAAATAAAATTCCATGTTAGGGTGTTCTCATCTAAAAAAAAAAACTTTTATAAAAGCCAAAAATAATTTAAAAATCTATACTATAAACTTCTTCCAAAGTTAAAAACATATATTACAATTTAAACTCCAGATAGTACGGTCTATCTATAAATAATCTGAATAAAAATACCGAGAAAGTAAAGAATTTTTTATAACTTTCCAAACAACTTGCGAACCACGTTTAAAGACATGGCGAGAGTCATCCAAAATATTCTCTTTATAGAGTCTCGTAAAGAGACATAATCCCCCTTAAGATACACAGAGGTCTACGTGCATCACCCATGCCATACCATACCATACCATAAAGTTCAAGTGCTCCAGAACAGTCAGAGATCCAAGAAAGAGGTCATCCTGGTAGACGTAGCCGCTGATGCGGTGCATGAAGGGCCCGATGCGCCGGCCGTTTATCAGAATGTCGCCTTGAACCACGGTCCCGGCTGCAGCGCAGATCCCAATGCAAATGGAACGGGACGGAGATAATGGGGATCAGTCTAATCTTATCGGTGGAACTACTCGGTAGTACAACTTACCCGGTTGTCGAAAGGCAAGTGTCGACATTAGTGTTGTCTTTCCAGAGCCACTGTGAATGGGAGATGTTTTATGAGGGGGCGAAACTTTGAGAAATCTTAGCTTATCAGTATGGTTGTTATAATAAGACAGAAATTAGACGACTTGACATAGTTAACACGTTTTTGGTCATCTTGTGTCTCGGGCACATTCCACTCGAGTGCATTTGATCTCAGGTGGTATCGATTTCGATTTCTGCAGCAGCTTACCTCGAGCCCATTAAAGCCATCAGAGTGCCCGGTTGAATGGCCCCTGTGGAGTTGTTAATGATCCGCTTCATTCGCTGGCCGGAACCCCCAACATTGGTATACACGCAGAGATCCCTCCACACCAAGGTGGCTCCCTGTTCCGTGGGCGACCATTTGCTGTAGCTCCTTAGGGGCAAACTCCTCTCCGAACTGTTGCGTTTCGACAACTTGGGTGTGCTGTCCAGGCTGGGCACCTCGATGGTACTGCCCACCGGCATCAATTGCAGCTCGTGTTGCTCCACCGGACCCGGAGGTCCCGGGGCCTCCACATCGATCAGCTTGCTCTCTGAGTCCGACATTGTCTCTGGGGTTCTACCTCACTAGATCTCACAGCTGAGGAGTCTGATTTTTTCTGAACCGAAGCGTGCCACAGCTGGGCAACAACTAACCAGCTAAACCCTGCTGAGAAGTTGTCACAGCCAAGTTGACGGTAAGATAGACAGGCACAGTGAGTATTGGATAAAAGGCACTGGGAATTAAGAAACACGGTCTAAAGAAATGGATTACTTAGAACAAATCTCATAACGAAAATCTATAAAATTTGTAATGAAATATGAAATGTATTTATATGGGAATTTTCAAATGTAATATTATATTAAAGTAAGCTTTGTTAAAAAAATATGTTGCTTATGAAGATTATGTGCGTATAGTTCCATAATACTTACTCTCCCTTATTAAATTTAACAGTACTATAAATTAAACAAGAATTTTTTCTATGATTACCCAAGCTTTGGAGAAAATTTTATTGTTCCAATATTTTTAAAGCACTGCTATATTTTGTTTAGCTTGAGAACCAAGGAGTATATATTCTTCTTTGTTCAATAAGTTAAGGAACTATTATTCGAACGTTTTTAAAGATTTTTTAATACATTATAATATCATTTTGTATAATTTAATAAAATGTTCTCCCTACTAATGACCACTGTGGTGCCCAGCACCCCACAACGCAAATATGGTAAACTTGGGATCTGAGGTGCGGGGCCCACAATCTTTAGGGTGGCCCTGGCAGCGAGCATTCGATCGTCTTGCTGTTTCCCGACCGCTTGGGAAGCAGCGGACTTAGGCGGCGGCTCCAATTACCATTGCCAGCGGAAAATGCAGTCCAGACCAACCCACCGGGAAGCCCCGCAGGGCCAGAGTCATCCAAGCACCAGCGGGAAAACCACCGCTGCCTCGGGAAAGCCAACAACCAGATGGGAGCCCATTCTCGTCTCTGTTTTGCTACGGGCTTTCGCATTCATATCGCGCAAAAGGGGACCCAGAAATTAATTCAGAATAAATAAACCTACCTACAGCTGTGATTGTCACACCTGTGAAAAACTAATTTTCTAAATGGTGGTTGTACTCATGTGGTACACATGTTGTCCTGGAATCTTTAACTTAACGTTTTAGAAAATGGCAAATGGCATTTTTAGAAAAATGGCAAATTTATGAATGGTCTGCATACTTTAATCCTAGATATCAGTAAACTCTAAGCACTGGAATTTACAACTATTGTTTAAACCGCACAATGCACTTTAAACAATAACAGAAACTCACTTTTAAACGTTCAGTGTGATTTTATGCTGGCATACTTTTAGGCAGCTTCCACCTCCTCGGTGTAAAATTTCTAGATCATGTTTAAAATAAAAGAGTTTAAAATGTATAAGTATTTTTTTATAAAAATTAAATTATTTATTTTTAACAGTTTCATACAATTTTTTACATTTTATTTCTTTATAAATGCATTGTACAAAACAAAACGTGTATGGTCATTACTCAGAACACATTATAATATATAGTTTTTTGTGTCAGGCTGAAAAGCGTTTGAGGCCTGAAATAAAAGAAAAAAGTTTGAGGATTAAAAAGGTTTTTCAACCTATGGGAAAATCCCATTGCATACTTAATAATAAAGAGTGAAGAATAATCTAAATAGTAGCTCAGATTGCATTGGAGGCCAATTCAAAAGAGTATCAGTATCAGCTTTTTGGCTGATAAGCCGTTTTTGAGTGGACAGAACTGCCCTCTGGGTTCTCAGTTTCCTTCGAGCTATTAAGCGGATAAGTCGCATCCGACCGGTTGAAAATATTCATAATATCAGTAGAAAATAAGTGCAACGTAATGATGTGATATTCAATACACAAACAAATGGCAACAGCAGCAGAAACAGTTCAACAAAAATATAATATCTATGGTTTGTTATTGCGCACAGTAAACAACACAGAAAATCTGTTTAGTAATTAAAAACCAAGCCATTTGGCTGGTGACTGAAAACAGTTATCGCTTTAAATGGTAGGCAGTGTTGTAAATCCAAACCTAATGGGTCTATAATTAAACTTCATAACACCTTATCGTCGCGCTAAGTGTTTTATGGCACGTTTTTGATCTTAAATCGAAAAGGAAAGGTACGTGCGGTTCGATAAGGGAGTATAAGAAATCTATAAAAAAAGTTCTGGAAGACGGTAAATGAAATGGTTTAATGAAGCCACACGTGTAAAAAATTATATCTATAATTAGGAGAAATAACCGATTTTATAATTAAATTCTACGGCTTTAATTCTTATATTAATAACAAATAAAAATTGAGAGCTCATGATGTATATATTTTTACCAACTTTAAAAAAACTACTAATATTACAGAATATAAACCATTCCTAACAAAAATTGGTAAAAATAAAAAATTTGTGTAAGTGAAATAACCTATTACTGATATATCCTAAAACTTAAGGTTTACGCTCAGAAGTCTAATCTCTGACAAATTTGCATAACAAACCCCGATTGCTATGCAAATATTGAAAATTTAATCTATTGATAAGCTGCCTTTGGCGGTTAAATTTTGAATTTCGAAAGCTTAGCGGTAAAAAGCTTTGAACCCAACCCCTTAAATCGAAAAGAAAACACATTTAACATCGCGGGAGAGAAGGCGAGTGCGCAGAGTAAAAATGAGCGCCACAGAGGTGAGTGTTTTGCTCAATTTTGTCAGCCGCTAAGTGGTTTGTTTTTGTTTGCGACGCGGCTAAATTTAACAAAAACACAAAGTGTTGGACCAAAATAAAGAAATAACTTTAGCGCAATTAGTTCTGATTTTTCGCATTTAAATAAATCACATAAATTGAAGCGTCGCGATTCGTTAAACGATTACGTATGCCAATATGATGCCAAATCAACGCGCGGGGAACCCAAGCAAACTGAAAATCCACTTTGAAAAAAAAACAGAAACAACAGACATGACCTTCAATTTCGAATCTGTTATGCATTATTGATTTTACATTTTGTGTATCGTTTCAAAACGAAAAATAGTGAAAAAATACTCGTAAAATTCCTAAAATGTAATAAGAGAAGCTGCTTATCACTTTGTTTACTAGCTAAAAAAAGTATCACCATGTGGTGCCGGTCAAAATGTTAAGGTGATGGTGACTTACGAATGCTCTACTGTACTGATATAGAGAAAATGTGGAAAAAATTATAAAAGTCGATTATATTGTATTATATAAAAAACTTTTTTGGAAAATAAAAAATTAATTTCAGAGCTAAGCAAATGTTTGTATACAATTTTAAAAATATTTACTTTAAAGGAATTTAGATGTTGCGATGTAAATATATTAACTATTGATTTAAAATGATATACGAAAAAAGATTATGTTAAAATTTGATAGTTTTATAAACTCAAAAAGCGAATCTATGTAGATTAGTGCAGTAGAACTTCTTCTAATATCTAACCTTCATATGTAAATAAATCCTTTCGCGTATAGAACAAAACCCTTATGAAATAATGTGAAAACGATTTAGTAATATCAAAACTACCTTTTGGTAGCGTATACATCTTTTTAAAACGAGTTTAAAAGTTTATTCAGAGCGCAACCCTCAGTTCTCCTCAAAACCGACGGCATTGCCAGCATCAAGAAAAACGCGAATTCCAAAATCCCTTGCATACTTGCAGGCACCCACCGGAAATGCGGGACAAAGACGCGGCAGTCGGACTAGTGAAAATAGTGAGAACAGCGCTTCCGGTGATGCTAGGGAGCATCATCGGGACGAGGGGTCGGGCCGCACCGCCTGCCAGTGGGCGTGGCACGTGGTCAAATCGACCTCCGTGGAGCCCACAATGTTCCTGTACATGTCCGCCTTCATGATCACCTCGGTGGTGGAGCAGAACTTCTTCCTTTACAAGTCTTGTCGGGTGAACAACAATTTCACGGAGGAGATCTGCCGCAATCTCAATAAGGCGGAAAACGAGGAGTACTGGAGAAAGTCAACATCGACCAATGCCCGGTTCCTCCAGTGGGAGAGCATCTCCGCCCACGTTTTCACCATTATTTTGGCCCTTTTTCTGGGCTCCTTCTCCGATCGTCGCGGCAGAAAGTTGCCGATGCTCATGGGACTGGTGGGCAAGTTCATATACTCCACGATGATAGTGGTCAATGCCAGGATGCCCACGTGGCCGGTGCAGTACATCATCTATACGGCCACTTTGCCATCGGCCTTGACGGGTGCGGATGTGGCCATTTTTGCCTCCTGCTTCGCCTACATCTCGGACATTTCCACGCTGGAGCAGCGCACCATTCGGGTGACCATTCTGGACGTGATCTATCTCAGTGCCATGCCCCTGGGCGTGGCCCTGGGATCGCATCTCTACTACAATGTCTTCAATCAGTCCTACGCGGACATGTTCACCGTAAACGCCTCGCTTCTGGCACTGGCCATTATCTACACTTTGTGCGCCCTGAAGGTGAGTTTGGCAGTCCTGCATATAGAACCATTTAATACAAGTCTTTTATAAAGTAAATATATAAAAAGAGTAGAAAATCGAATGAATTTTAGGAATTTCTAACCCTTTCGGAAAGTATGTGTTCTAGCTATTTAAACCAGGGACCATAATCATATTATATAACCAAAGGATATGATTATATGTAGCAAATATTTCACAAATTAATAATTTGCTTATATTTGATTCACATAATATGTTAGCTTATCACTTCTTTTAAAGTACCATTTACAAATATAGTTTTACGATTTTGACTAATATTTTTCTGCTAGGAGAAAAACTAAAAAAAAAATCATTTTTGTTTCCACATGGAAACTAACTATAGTTATATGGGTTCTGTTTTAAGCTAGTATTCTACAGTTTATAAATTTATATACTCCGGTATCCCTATCCTTGACTTTCCCAAGGATTTTTATCCATTATTTTATAGAGCACGGGTAAAACCTAAATATTACGTAATGTTTTTACTGCAACTTTCAGTGGCAGACGACTCCCAGACAGCGTTCGTTGAGGGAACTTGGCTGGTGTGGATTCTGGGGCGACTACTTCGACATGCAGCACATGAAGGACTCGCTGACGGTGCTGGCGAAACCGCGAAAAGGCCACAGACGCAGCTTTCTCATTATCCTGATGATCAGCATGGCCCTGTACACATTCCAGCGGGACGAGGGGCATTACCTGTACATGTACACCCAGGGCAAGTTCAACTGGGATGTCAGTGCGTTCAGCAACTTTAAGACCTTCAAGTCGTCAGCCTACGTGATTGCCATGCTACTAGGGGTGCCACTAATGAACAAGCTTCTGGGTTGGAGTGATACGGTAAGTCCTACATTTTAGTTATATGATCCTAATCACATACATTTTATGACCATTTCGATTTTAAAATATAATTTAAACCCTTTTTATTTTGAAGAGCTTATCGCAAGTTTAATGAATCGGATAGACAAATGATAAAATGATTACATTTATTATTATTATTATTATTATATGGTTATTATTATTATTTAACTTCCCTATCTATCGTAGGCCATCGTCTTTGTTGGCACCTGGGCCCATTCGATAGCCCGATTGTTCTTCTATTTTGCCACCAATACTGATTTGCTCTACGCTGGAGCCGTGGTCTGTAGTTTGGGTCCGATTGTGGGTCCCATGATCAGGGCCATGGCCTCTAAAATTGTACCCACATCGGAGCGTGGAAAGGTATTTGCCCTACTCTCTGTTTGCGATAATGCGGTGCCCCTTATCAGCGGTGTTTGCTATTCGCAACTTTATCTGGCCACCATGAATACCAATTATGGAGGAACTGTCTTTATGCTAACTATTGCCACCCAGATAGCTGTCTTTGTACTGACACTGTAAGTAGTCATAAAACCCTTTACTCCACCTTTTACTAATTTCTTTTCAATTTTATTTCAAGTTGCATTCATATTATTTTGGGCAAGAACTCACTGGCCGTTCCAGAAGTTCCAGAGAAGGAAAGCGGACTTATAAGCCAAAAGGAGGCTATCCAGGAGACGACTTCTGAGGAGGATAAAAGTTAGCTAGGCTTTTACGAATTACACACTATGATTCCTAAAAAAGACATGAGACATTGGAAATGTTTCTCTTCGATATCAATCCCATAAAAGCACCTTCAATAAATATAATATATTTTCCTAACTCTGGACTTATCATTCATGAATTAGCATTTACAGGTACTCGAATTGGGATTTTTATCAATAGATTTAAATACCTTAATCATTTTTTCGGGGTTTTAAAAAAGTTTGATTGAGTTGTTATTTATTAAATAAACAAAGTAATGGTTGGTAAAGAACATTGTTTTAGAACACTACAAGATTTGCTTTAAAAATAAACAAAATTGAAATAATATATTTTTTAATGTTAGTCAAGCATCTTTAGATATGATTTACTATATAGATTATTATATTTGTTCTATGAAAAATTGTATTTTTTAAATAAACAGTGATCATCTTTCAAAGGAAGGGGTTTTCTTTAATCCAATTTTTCTTAAATAAAAAACTTACACCAAGTTTCCTGCGAAATCACTTGTTCTTGGAGAGGGTGCGCTGCTTCTCGGCATGCTCCACCACCTGCTCGTCCACGAAGAGGCCCTTCCTCCGCCGGACACTGTCCATGTAGACCTTGGCCCGGTTGGCTGAGTCCGCCTTCTCGCCGAAGTGCATCAGCTCCTCCTCGGTTGTCGGCAGCCAGAAGGGATCGATATCAATCACCTGTAAGCAGAGGCAGGGTGTAAATTCCGGGAAATCATTTAGGCACTTGAGACGGGACAAAGGAATGAGGCGTCGCTGTGTCTATGCGCCTGCGCCTCGCAATGGATTGGATTTGGGTTGGGTTTTTCCGGCTAGGTCGGGGTATTTCGTTATGGGTTTTCGAGGCCCAGGCCCTGGGGTCTTTTGTCTCATCGCCAGGGAAAGCGTGCATTTTCACATCTTCATTGTTTGGACTCGAGAGGCTGCGACAAAGGACTCGACGCTTAATGACTTTCAAAGGACGCAGGGACACGCATTGCACGTTACGTGATAGGGCAGACTCGCCAGGATACGCAGGACGAGGCTCGAGGAGAACGAGGTTCCTCAAGTTCCTCAATGGCGTGAAGAGCGTTTCCTGCGCTTGATTGATGATTGCCTCCTGCGAGGCGAACCACTTGAGAATCTCTGGTGTGAGATCAGCATTGTTTTGTTTTCCTTTCTTTTTTTTTCAGCAAGGACTCAAGACCCAGCGGGCGGGTGTCGAGCGGTTCGTTGGAAAAACTCAGCACTCTCCCACTCTAGAATTTCGGTTTGGTTCCACTCTTCATAAATTCCCTCATCAATGAAGGAACTTGCTCGAAAACTGATTAAGATGCTGAGGCATTGGTCTTTTGCCAGAAAGAAATATTTCTTTGCACAGCAAAAAATATCATAAACATTATGAACTTATCATAAATACTATTTTAATATCGTACTTAGGAAAGTTAAAAATGTGATAAATATTTAAATGACCATGTTTTAGTACTGAAGAAAATGTATCTGTTAGTTAAGATACTAGTATATGAGTATTTAAGATTTGATTTAGATTTTTGCGCAGTGCGTGTTCTGGGCCATCTGTTCGCACTACGCTAAACTGCGGGCCCTCGAACATCTTCGCAATCCCATGTAGATCATTATCGGGCACAAAGTTTCGCTTGTTTAACAACAGCCAACAACGCCAAGTGGCCAAGGGATCGAAGGGAACAATGGGGGCACTTTAGGGAGCCGAGCAGTAGTCCTCGACAAGGTAAGGCAATCCCAGTTGGCAGTCCCTACTATCCCAATCCCAGTCCCAATCCCAGTTCGCAGTTCTCAGTTCACAATCCCTGTCACAACAAAACAGAAACGCAAAAGCGAGACTGCCATCCTGCGCATGCGCAGCAGCATCCAATCTTTCCATCGGTACCCATCCCCATCCATACCTCCTCCACCAATACCTCTACCCATCCCCATTCCAAACATTCCCACTCCAAATCTCGGGCAGAAAACGGAGGAGACCCTGTGGCAGCTGAAGTGCTCCAGAAGTGCGCAGAACTTGCGTCTGAGCCGGGCCAGACAAATGAGCAGCCAGCCACCAGCAGGCAGATGAGTGCACTGCCACAAAAACTGGACCATTAACATGCCCTAATATTTTAGAAATGGGTATTTTTAAGGAATTATAAATAATTAAACATTAGGCTCGTGGATAGAAGTGCTAAGCTGTTTAAAGTATTCTTGGGTTCTACAGTAAAATATAGAAATATGTTAGGCGAGGAAAAGGGACTGCGAACAGCCTTAAACAACTTATATAATTATTAATCTTAAAGACGGTCTAGTCCATTGAATAAAATGACATTTTAGGTTATTACTTGTAGAATAATATAAGTTAAAAAAGGTTTTAAAAAAGTACTTATTAAATATAAACACCATATAATTTAGTATTAGACCATTTTAATAGCGAAACCAACAAAGGTTACATGATTTTTGCCAATGTCCTTTTGGCCAAAAACCCACTTATAACATCCCAGGAAGGTGGTTATCCCCACTAATGCAGCACCACGCTCCAGATTACAGGCGATTCAAAGGCTCTGTTCCCCCAAATCTCCACCTCCACCACCAACATTCTCCCATCTTGAGGTTAAAATATTATGAAAAATATTGGAGCGGCCGCAAAAACCAAAACCAAACGACGTGACATCAACACACACACTTGGCATGGTACCATATTATACTATATTATATGGTAGGGTATATCGCTCTGTATCTCCACCTCTCTTTGCACACACGTGTTCTGTATCTGTGTGGTTCTTATGAGCGGTGTGCGTGTGTGTGTGTGTGAGTGAATGTGTTTACCTGTCCAACCGCGCGCGGTTTGTATGCAGGTAATTTACGCGGCAGCTACCGAAATACGCTGAAGTCCGTCGGTCCGTCGGCCCGCTTGTCCATTTGTCCGCCTGTCCGTTTGTCCGCTTGTCCGTCCGCGACCAAGACGAAGTTGAGATTATTATCGCGCGCCAGAAACTGGCTGAAAGACTGTGAAAGAGACCGGGCCCAGAGAATATAACTCGATTCGAGTCGAGTCGAGTTGATTCGAGAGACTTGGGGGCCTGGGCCTGTAAAAGTCTCCAGCGAACGGACAGCGGACAGTGGACGGCGGACGACGGACAGCGGACTACGATGAGCGTCATTTTGACAGCCAGCGAGCGGACAATGCAAACCACGTTCCACTTAAGAACAACAACAACGATAGCAACAACAATCCTTTGGCCACTTGGATAAACACTTGCCTTGGCATGGATATATCCCTACACTGAGAGAAAGTATTGCCCCATTATTTACAAAATGTAAAACTCTCTTTATATCCGTCGTGTTAGTATGTAACTAAACCTTATTATTTCCAGGTGCATTAAGACTAGCTCTTTTATTATCATAAGTAAATCTTAAATTAAGATCAATCGGAAAATTCATAACTAAGGGTTATTTATTAACAAGAAAAGTAATTTCTGGTAGTGCCATACTCTATGATAGATAATGATAAGGTCTAAAAAAAAGTATCATTTTAAATATACAAATAAATTATTTAATTATGTTGGTTTGGTTATGAAAAGATAGGCATTTGGTGCATTCGTTATGGGATTTAGGATCTTTAATAAAAGTTGTTGTTAAAGAGGGTCTCTTAAACAAGGAATATTACAAATATAGTAAAGTATTTTGAATCCCTGATCTGGTTATTAATTTTATTCCCAGTGTATTTGTATGTGTGTGTTTATTCGCACCAGGCAGACTTTAGGGCACTGCCATGCTCTCCCCCGCCCCCGGGCGATTCCCCTCTCCTGCTCCCTGACCCCCGCCCCCAACTCCACCTCCGCCCCTGTCCCAGCCCCGCCCCTTCGCTTTTGGCCCTTCCCCTAACCCCTCTTGCCCCACTCCCCACTCGACTGTCTCCACTGTAGACTTTCCCTTTGGTGGGGGGCAGACTGTGGCAGGTATACAAAACGAGTTATCAGATTATTTGTTATTTGTCTTGGTTCTTTGCTCACAGTTTGTTGTGGCCGTGGCTGTTATGCTTTTGAAGTAGTTCCAGAGTTCCAGAACTGAGGTCTTGCATGCAAAGCGCGACAAGCAGCAGGAACACCAGCAACAACAACAACAACCAGAACCAAATCATATGCAACAATCCGGACCAGAAGAAAACACGGAGCAGAGCGGCCTTAAAGTAAGACCAGTAGCCAAAGTTGTTATGTTATTTCTTTTTATTTTCCTTTTTTTTTGGTAGGCTGCAGGTCTTGACCCTCTTCCTGCCCCGACCCCTGTCCCCCCACACACACACACACGTAATCATAATAACAATCTTCGGGTTCATCAAGTGGCCAGAAGAGATGAGAAGTGCTGCAGCCAGCGAGGAGTTGGGGGAAAAAAAAGGAAGCACAAAATTAAATAATAACAAAAGCGCGCAAGACAGTAGCCACCCGAAGAAGAGGTATTTGTCGGCTGAACAGTGCAGCCCATTGCTGTAAGGCAAAAGAAAGTTTCATTAGTGAAACTATTTCCTTATGGGACCCAAATATTGTACACAAATTGGTTTATGATCAAGTTACAGGCCACTTATATGGAATCAAAGTTATGAATTTGTGGAGTCGCATGCTAAAGGGTTCTCAAAACTGCAGATGATTGTAAAAAAGTAATACTTGATTTACAAGAAAAACAACATTTAAGGTTGTAATAAATATATATTTGAAGCAACTTTATCAAAATTTATTTAGCTTAAGATCTTAAGATTTACTTAAACTAAGTTGTTTTATTATTTTGTATAACGAAAAATGAAATACTACATTTATAAAGATTGATAGTAGGCAATTCTGTTAGAGATCTTTTTTAGAGATCAGTTTTATAGACTGTAGACTTTATAATTATAATATTGATTTAATATTATATATTTTCCATTTTTTTTAGAATATTTTTTAAAAATCCTCAATGTGCTAATGGAGTACTTTCCATTTTCCTAATGAACCGCACTGTTGGCTTAACTGTTGAGCTCCTGTCTGCCGTCTTAATGCAGCTACGTGAAGTGAAAGACCAACGGCAGTAACAAGAAAAATTATGATATATGAAAACTGAAAATTAGTTTTTGTTGTCTTCGGTTTCTGTTTCAGCTTGCAGCTCACAGCTCACAGTTTGCAGCCCAGCTTGAAGCCTCCACATACCATACGTTAAAAGGTCATCCGCAGAGATGATTTCTTGCGGCTGCTGATCTGCTGATCCGGCGATGCAGATGCTTAACGAACTTATTGTGGGCCATGATGCGGCAAGAAATGGAAATGGCCTTTTGGGAACACGACTCCCCGACTCCCCGACTCCCCGAACCCCCGCCTCTGGGCCCTTTTTTCCCGTTTTCCCCCAACCAGAAGTTGGCCACTCGAGTGAAGTTGACGCCTTCGTTGTTATTATGGGCACGTGACAACTGCGCCCACGGCTGAGAGCCCGGCCCACTCAACTGGCAGGTAGGGTTTACAGAAAGGGGAAAAAAAATTAAAAGAAAGGGGGAGGGGGGTTGGGTGCCAGGGGGCGGGGTGGCCACTGGCCAACACATGTGGGCGTGGACAAAGTGCTGAAACCAACCGTTTTAATTGCTCGGGCGAAAGGTAAGCCGAAATCCTAATTGTTTTCACTTTACCTTCGCCCAGAATAATGATCGAAATTGTAATCGAATCGAATAGCTTTCAGATACTTATCCACTTGTGTTGGCCAAACTAGTTTCCGTTAAGACTTTAACATAGATACGAGTTAAGATATAGACGCAATTCACATACAGAGAGAATATGGCTTTTAAAGTTGTATCACGACATATATATTTTTAAAAGAGGAAGGCTTAAATAATTTTAAAGCGTTCTTAAGAATGTGATTTTAAAATTTTAAGCAAGTGATTTTTAATTAAAATGCCTTCAAGTTCCTACATGTTTTTGCATCTTAGCTACTGAAATTTGTGCGGAATTATTATGGTTCAATGGGATTTTCATTCAAAGATTGCTGAAACTGAATATGCTTAAAGCTTCTATGTATTTTTCTCTGTGCAATCCGACTCCCCTCCCACTTTCCCGCCCCTTTTCCACTTTTCCTGCTGTCTGGCGCTGGAAATGCGTAAGAAATTATACGAAGCAACGGCAAACAACATCTCCGTCGCCGGCAAAACTTGAGCTGAGAAATAGAAAATCGCCGGAAGTCATTATACAAAAACTTGTTGTTATCGATTGGTTGGGCGATATGGCCAACACTAGCATAAAAACACTAATAGAGGGACTTATACCCATACAGAATGCACGCACATTGGAAATATTTTTTGTTCATGCTACAAAACTAATTATTTGAATATACATATAAAAATAAAATGTAATAAAGGGATGATATAAAAATATTTAAAAAATTTCCAATTGAACGATAACTAAAATTGAGCTCTATTTTGGTTTATTTAATGTTAAGTTTCATAATAGGTTTGTTTTTTTTCACCTTAACCTAATCGAATTAAACAAATATGTTCTTTAATGACGATCTCCATAACTTTAGGTTCCAACCAAAATTCTGTAGACTGTGGAACTTTATAATTATTTTTGGCTGAACTTGGCTCATCCGCTGATCTTGTCCCATCCGTTTTCGTCCAAAATCGTAAAACCGAAGGGAAAAATCATTAAGTTGGCTGTTAATTGTGGCCCACGACAAGGTCAGAATGCGATGGAGAAAGAAGGCGACTGGAAGAGAGAAGGAGTGAGTCTGGTTCGGGGCTTTGGGTTACCTCGAATGGCACACAGCTGCAGCTTCAAATGGACCATATAACTTTCAGTCCAACTGTTGCTGTTGCCATGTTGCTGCTGCTGCTGTTGCTGCTGCTGCTGCTGTTGTTGCTGCCACTGAAGTTGCTGTTGCCATGTTGCTACTGCTGCTGGCTGTGGTTTAGCTTATAAGACTTCAACAGAAGGTAACAGAAGGCTCAGAGCAGCGTAAGCTGAGATTTTTATATTGACCACAGACAGCAGGCGAGAGTCTTGGGGAAAGGGAACTGGGAGGATCGGGGTCAGGAATAGGGGGAGTACAGTGAGGCACGCACATGGCATATGGTCGAACAGGCGCTGCACTTGTGCCCCATCAGCGGCAACAGCTGCTCCACCAATCTCTGCCAGCTACAGTCGGACTTCTATTAAAGTAACCACCCCAACTAAGCCACAAAAACTAACCAACAATATTGATTTGCACAAATGTTGCACATTCTTCTTCTTACAAAGAAAGAGGTCAAATGAATAAGAATTCTTAAATTACCAGAAAAATTATTTATATTGTTTTTTGAGTTTGTAATCTGACAACCGCTTATAACTATATGTTTTGCATCTGACTAATTGTGTTAAACAAATGTAGAGAAAACCACGTGATTCTTTTCAGTACGTGTCAATAAGTAAGAATTATTCATGGAACTTTTTTAGCTTAATACCTCAGTAAGAAACGATTTTTTTTAAGCAGACAGACAGAAATTAAAGTTTAGTCACCCCAGGTTTCTTAAAAAAATGATTTAATATAAGTTCCTTCACATAAATTGTCATTTTAATTTAATAGTGTGAAAAAATGTATTTGCACTCAAATGCTAATAATAAATCCGTAACTCATCTATAATTTTTTCTAAAATTTGTAATAGCTTTAATAAATCTAATCATTTTAGTTGGTCAAAATATCAAGTTATGGTAAAGTTACTTCAAATCAAAGTTCGCAAAATTGCTTTCTATAAATCCAACTATTATTTTGGCGGTCGCCCTTCTTTCTTTTTAAATATTAATTTTAGTATTATATACCAGTTTTAATTTGTTAAAACAAATAAGTATTTTGGGGCTTTAGATACTAACAAGTTAACATAAGATCTTTAATGAATGTTTTTAAGGAGTGATTTGATAGCACTTAGTTTTGGGGCTTCCTACCTAAAGACGATCCTTACAGATACTCAGGAAAGTAAGAAAGTTCGAGCTCGCAAGCTCCACTGTACAGTACTCACCTCCCAGTGGCTGAACATGAGCTGGGGACAGGCCAGGCCAGATGTCTGCTTTCGCATCTCCTGGGCGAAGTTGAACGACTCGATCACCGGCAGAAGACAGGTGACCGCGAAGTTGCCGCTGCCCTGGGTCAAATCGCCGGAGAGGATTTTGCCGTGCCGCCGGCCAATTACCGCGTACATTTTACCTGCGAATGATAGAAAACAAGAGATACGTTCTTTGATCAGCTGTTGGTCGTTAGCTAGAAATCGAATTGGGAAAAAAAAGAAAAGGGAAACCTCCAACTAACAATGGCCGCCTTTCAGTTGGAGTTCTCGGTTCTGGTTAATGCTCCTATATCGCCCGTTCTTGTTATTGTTGTTTCTGGCGCGTCTCAAGGTAACTCGTAAACAAATGAAATCTTATCGGGTTTGGCCCATAAAATTGGCGGGCTTTCTGCCGAACCGCGCGCGTTTTTCGCTTGAACTTCCAAGCCGGGAGATGGAGATGGAGATCGTTTTCAGGTCTCTCTCGAACTCTCTATATACCCTAGATGGGAGTTTTTCTGTTTGTTTAAGAATTTTGGATATCCAAAAAACATATGTTTCAAATAAAACTGAAAACTGCACAACTAATCTTGAAAACAGCACCAAAATAAGTTCGAAGTTAAGAACTATGATCTTTAAAATATTTAAAAATTAACTGGAGCGTTCTAAAGCAGTTAATATAGGGTTATATAGGACCTTGGAAATTTCTGCAGGACTTCTGATATAAATAACCATTTTTATTTCGGTTATAACACCACAAGGACCTGATTGTTGTGTGAGAAAAAATAAAAAAGATGCCCCAAAAAATTACCTTCTGAAGGGAATTCAAAGCTTCGACTTGAGATGGGACTTCTCCTTTCTTGTTAAACTTTTTCTAGATTTTTTTTCGCTGTTCTTTTTTTGGCATGCGCTACAAGAACGAGGCCCAAACATGAAAGCACGGCAGAAGGAGAACGAAGAAGGCCGGGAGGAGGCGGAGTCCAAGTCGTTGTGGCTAAGGCAGGAATTAGTTTCCGGTGCCGTAGTAAAGATGACAAAAACAGCGCGGCGGCGGCAGCAAAAACGGCCGAAAGGATGCAACGGAAGCGGCAAAAGCCGCTTGGCTGCGATGCCCCCTTTATTTGTTGTGTTTTTTGTTATTTTGTTGTATTTTGTTACTTTTTTTTTAAGCCAAGCACGCGAGCCAGAGACACCTTGCCATCCGCTCGCTCTCACCCATACAGGAATGCAGACACACAGATGCATCTCACAGATACTCGCACCCACACAGGCGCACGGCGGCAATGGATGCTGCAACCACCAGCGGAAAAAGCAGCAACAACATGTTCATTCATTCATATCCAGCCCACGACGCGCTCTCTTTCGAGCTCTCCGACGCTCTGCCGCTGCCAATCGTGCACCGAGAACAAAATCGATCATGTTTTATCTTGATTTATAAAACTTTTTTCAATTCATATTAAAAAGCATATAAGTATGCTACAAAATATTACATTTTCAAATTATATTTTTAACCTTACAAAATTTCTTTAACTTACTCTATATAATTATACAGAAAATTATTATTGGTAAAAATTTGTATCACATTTGAAAAAAAGTTTAAAAATTAGTCAAGATAACATCACATAATTACGGAATGTTTTTTTAATAGAACAGAAATTTGGCGTTACTAAATAATACTGGAATCACGATCTTGCATATTGAAGAGGAATGTCGAAAAATATGTTAACTTCAGTTTTCCCTTCTTGAAATTAAGCATAAAATTATTCTTTGAAGTATTATAATTTTTAAATTTGTAAGCATTAAGTACCTGGAGTATTGACCTTATAGATTTTTATCTCTATTTTCTCTATGTGTAACAACTCCAAATTTTAAAATTTTTAACAAAATTATTATTTTAAATTAAAGAATTTTTAGTTGTGCAAATATTAAGTACTTGGAGTATTAACCTCTCCAAATAGCTTATTAGACACAATTTATTATATAGATCTGGAATTTTCTCTAAGTGTAACAAAAGGCCTTTTTAATATTTTAAACAAAATTGTTTATTGAAGTAATAGAATTTTTAGATGTCTAAGTATTAGGTACCTAGAGTGTTAGCCTCTCCAAATATCTTTTTAGAAACAATATATGTATTTTCTCTCAGTGTAACGACACGCACGCACCGGCAGAGACGCGAGCAGCGTACTTCTCTGCCGGCTTCTCCAGCGGCTCTCGTTCGCCATTCGCCGTCGCTGTTCGTTTTTGGATTTTCTGTTTGATCAGTTCGAAAAGTGAGTTGGTCGAGCGAACAACCTTATAGCGAGGGCAGCGCAAGCGATACGAGACGAAAGATCAGCGGTGCCACAGAGTATACGATCCAGGAGCGAAAGACGAGTCAACGACGTCGCGGGTGTAAAGTTACTAAACAGCAAACAGAAACTACCCATTAACTGTAGTGGGCCCTAAAAATATTCAATAATTTTCGAGTCGTTCGATTTGAAACCTGATTTGTAGAGTTCGTTTCTGCAAGTGTGTTTGTGTGGCATGTAAGCCATGGGTTCTGGGCGAGCGAGCGAGATAGAGCGAGAACATTGATTTGATTCGAATTCAATTACAAAATTCATTGAGTGTCAATTACAACCGCAAAAAATCAAATAAAACAACAACAGAGAAGCAAATCTCAGGAGGAGATTCCGAGATCCAGATACAGATCCAGCAAAGATCATATCCAGATCCAGAGCCATAAATCATGCCTGCGACATTGATGTTGCTGCCGTGCATGTTGCTGTTGCTGCTGACCGCCGTTGCTGTTGCTGTCGGCGGCACGCGACTGCCGCTGGAGGTGTTCGAGATCACGCCGACAACATCCACGGCGGACAAGCACAAGAGTCTGGAGTACACCGTCTACGATGCCAAAGATATATCCGCAGCAGCAACTAGTACAGTGAAGCCTGCTGCCGAGCAACTGACCGTGGTGAGCATTTCCACGGCGGCCGAGGAAAAGGACCTCGCCGAATCGCGGCGACATGCGCGACAAATGTTGCAGAAACAGCAGCAACATCGCAGCAGCAACAGCAAGCACATCGCCGAACGGGATCTGCGCATCCTTTACCAAGTGGGGGTGAGTAACTATAGCCAAGAAACCTAAAATTAAATTGATTAGCATTGGCTAATTACAAAGTGTGGCTCGTGCAACATGTTTGCATTGATCGGGGCAACACAAAAACAAAAAATAGGTACAAAATAAAAACCAACAACTGGCAATGGCAGGTTGCATAATGCAGGCAACAACGTCAGCAGACACCTGTTCAACTGGTTGCCATTTGTAAAATGCCCACGCCAGCAATATCAAAAGCAGCAGCATCTACACAGAAAATAATATCGCTTGATTAGATACTTTCATTGGGTATACAAGTAGCAGAAAGTTTAGGGGTTTAAGTCCCCTCTTCAAGCACTTAGTGATCCCTTACTTAATAATGGGAAACTGTCAAACCTATATGATTAATCAAAATCAATCAATTGGCTTTTATATTGGTCCAATCTCTTATATGATTTTCTCTATCTGTACAGCAGGTTTTGCAATGCAACTTTTTTGGGCTGGGTCCGAGTCTTAGTTTGTTGTTTTGATTATTATATTTTATTTTTCATTTTGCCCAAGAAACTCTGGCTATATTTAGCAGCCGCCCTATAGCCATTACACTTGACACCCACAAAACCACTATCCATATATCAGCACACGCATATGGCACATTTAATTGCAGCGGCAACACACTCGCTCTAGATGAAAAATGAAAGTTGTTTGCAGCCGAGAGCTCAACTCAACTGATCTGTCGCATTTGATCAATTAAAGTCGCAATTGCTATAACCGAACGATATGAGCGATACCAAAACCAATTAGCCGGCCGGGTCAAGAGTTCAATGCTGGCTGACTTATTCATGACTAAGCCAACGGTCCACCCAAAAACTTCTTGGCGTTATCTTTCCCCTTAAATCCATTACAATGCGAATTCAGATCATAGGTCAAGTCGGTTCCATTGTTCCCACTCCCGATCTGGCCATAAATCAAGTATCCGTTGAGAAAGAGACGGGACTGGAACTGAGAATGGGTATGGGAATGGGTGTCTGCCATATATCATGTATCGGATATCTATTATGTCAAATGTCATATGACAAAAAACACGCCCTGAAATCGAATTCTTGCCTGATGTTGCTACGAGGCCGAGGCGTGAAATATCAACAGCAATCAAAAGCAAAATATTGACTATATAAACAACTATGCAATGGGGCTGGGCAGCAAAAAAAAAAAGGTTCGAAATAGAAATACCCTAAGGAAAGATCAACATCATGTCAGCTTTTAAAAATGAACTATGAAGTACTTTAAATAATAGATTTTACTTTAAATGTTATAAATCTTTAAGAGAATATAAAGTTGAAATCGAACTATTAAATGTCCTTCAAATACAGTATATCTAGACCATAAACCAAGGCATTCAGTTCGACTTGGTTTATAAATTTTGAAATTCGATTGTCTGCAAAAACTGTGGAGCGCATTCAAAAAAAGCATAACAAAACAACATCCTAACACAACACCTAAAATAGACAAAAACCCAAAAAAAATTGAGCAGAGAATTCCTGTTGTTTGGAAACTTGCAATAAAAACGCCTTATTGGAGAATAGAACACAACGGAATAGATCCACAAAAGGCAGTGAATGAGCAGCCAGAAAGAGAGGAATATAGGGGGTTAGAAAGAGACAGGGACACAGGGTGGGAAAGAGAGGGAGGGAGGAAGAAGGCGCTGGGAGGCTGGAAGGGTGAGGAAAGTTGATAGAAGAAAACAAAAAGTTCCCATGCTTAAAAGCGCTAAACATTCAGTTCCGGTATTTAAAAACGTTTTCAACAACAACGACTGAGACGGGGAAGAGAGAAAGAGAGGGCAAGAGCAGAGGGACAAGAGGGAGATGGGGAAAGACCTGAATGAAAGAAAATTCATGAATGAAATACGACCACGACGACTACGAGAAGTCGATGATGATGGTCATAATGATGGTGGTACGGTATGGTATGGTGTGGTATAATGGGTGAAATGCTGGCGAGTGAGAGGGGTGATGGGGTGGTGCATGTGTGAGTTGGTACACTGGGAAAAATGAAAAAACTTGCAAGCTTATTACATTTAAAAAAAAATTTAATACAAGCTATATAAGGATATATTTCCAGTCGTAAAGAAAATGTTTTAAAAGTACCAAATCATAGGATTTTGCTGGTATTTTCTCAGATATTTAAGATTATTTTAAGGTATATTTAGTACATATATATACTACCCTTATCATTTATTAAATGCCATAAGGAATATCAATTTTTACCAAAAACCTTCCCAAATTAATGACAATTTTTTATTAGTAATTTTCTCTCACTGCACGTGTGTGTGTGAATGAATGAAAACGTAAACGCTGGATGAGCAGAGCAGCCAGCGAATGCTACGTCAGCGACTTCAACTTCTCGCTTGGCTGGGCAAGTCAATCTATGAATGAATGAATGCCAAAGCGACAGACCGTCCAAATGTATGAATGGATAAGGCCAACAACAACGGCAAGCACAGCAACAACAACAACAACAACAACAGAGATCGGGCAATTTGTTGGCCATATACAAACAGATCAGCCACGCATATTTGGCCTAAACAAGTCGATGTGTGTGCGCGTGGCATGGCCAAAAGCAAAAAAAGAGTTGGGAAAACGAGGTATGGGGGAATGGTAAATGGAAATGGAATATCAAAAGAGTCTGCCACAAATTCCAATTGACTGAGAAACGCATAAACAAATCAAGCATAGATTCCAATTTTGGCCATTTGACCAAGCTACACATAAATTCTGTTGTTGCAGCCAGGTGTGAAAATGCTTTATAGGCCACAATCCAAACATAGAAACAAACGCGCCAACTGTGCGTATGCTTAATGCCAAAACATGCAATAAATACTTATGAAAATACATTTGTTTCTATGAATCTAACATTTTTTTTTTGGTTTTCGGCCACACCTCTACTGATAATTAATGGCACTTTTATGCTAATTCATACATCCAATATGTTTGACAATTTTGAATTTAAACATCTTCAAACAAGTTTTATGAATCGTTGATCTGCTTTTGGTAAATTTATGCTCATGAGTTTTTTTTCACAGAAATCATCAATGGAATTGAGCATCCGTTTTCTAGTGAACTTTGTCAGGTTTTCTTGATGAGAAATTCTTGTGAATGAATTTCTACGTTGGGAACTATCGTTAATTTAGAAAAAAAATGTATCAACACGGAACCCCTTAATTGATCAATCACTGATCTGCTACAGAATCGGTCTAGTTCTATAGAATTAATAGATCATAGATATGACATTCCTTAATTGGTTGATGACTAAATTAACGGGAACTGAATTTAGGCTCTTAAAATACAAACGTAAAACTTGTATTAACACAATCCTTCTATAAATCATCAAAGCCCCATCCCTTCTTCAAATGATTTACATCATAACAATTTGAAAACAACATTTTATTCCCATAATGAATCGAAACGCACTTCCCTCGATTTCGCATATCATGTTTTCATAATTTCAATCTATGCTTTTTTTCCCCACGATGGAATTTTTGTTATGCTAAATATAGAAATTATTCAATGCGATTCAGAGGCAAAAACTAAAAAAATAATAATCATAAAAAAGACAAACAAATATTATTGAAAGAGAGTAGACAGCGACGTCAACAACAAAAACAATGGATATGTATATCGGTTAAGTGTGTCTGGATGCCGCAGACGCAGATAGGCGCGTATATAAAAATATTTGCATAAAAAACAAAAAAACAAAAACAACCAGCATACCGCAATTATTCACCTAAAAAAAATGTCCAAGTCTACAATCTCGGAGAGCTCCATTGAGAAAAATGCCCCGACAACAACAACCTGAGCCAACGGATGCTCGGATACCAAAAAACTAGTTTGCCCACTTTTTTCCCTCGACTTCTCCTTCTTCTTCTACAATATATACTTTGTTGCTGGCGCGCGCGCCAAGTCAACTTTATAGATACAATATATATATATATATTTATATATCTTATATGAATTAACAAAAAAGTCTTACTAAAGTCACAATCGAATACTCTATAAGTTAATAAGGTCCCAAGATTATATAACTTCGTTGGTTAATTATTAAATATTTCTCTGTTTTTAATAAGACAATATACATTGCATTCATTTAAAAATAATCCAAATCACCTCAAAAGTGAATTAGTAGAGGGTCACTGGATTTTCGATGAAAATAATTATCATAGTAATTATTTATTTGTCAGTCATAAGGTCAAGCAAATGTATCTATCATGTCCAGACTTCTATATCTGTATCTTTATACTCTCTCTTGATATTGTTGCCTTATAAAGTCTATCATTTGGCTGCCCCTATTGTTCGAAATGTCTTAGCTTTGTGCCACTTTTTTTCGAAAACATTTCTCTGTTGCTGGCCAAGACGGAAATGTGGCTTCGAACACTTCCGCTTTTGTTGGCCAAGAAGCGATAGATAGATAGAGATAGAGACCTTGTTACAGTTATTGATGGACACGTTCCAATTTCCCAGACTCTGGGGCTTTTTCCGATCGTGTAAGTGTGCTAATTACGTGCCCAAAGGCGCAATTTGTTTACAATAATATCAAAACAACGAAGAAGAGAGAAAAAAGTAAAACGATGGCGGGGCAAAAAAAAAATAAATTAACTATAAATAAGCAAAAGGCCAACAACGACGAATGGCTCGTCTTCGTTTGTTGCTGGTTTTCATTCATAAAAACGCACGCAGACGTCGAGTAAACAACATATTGGAATGGGTATGGGTATTATATGGGTACTACAAAGGGGGCGGCAGCGAGGCAATGGGGCGTGGCACAGCGAGTTGCTCGTAATTATCACACACAAAACAGGCTAAAAACCATTTCGAGTGTTTTACTAGAGAGGTTTTGTTTTTGCCAGCAGAAAAAAATATATGTGTAAAAAAACGAACAGGCAAAGCCTGTTTTCACTAAAAGCCGGGCAACTTTTCATTTAGCTAGCTGGCCATTCATTCATTCATTCATAAAAATCCCCGCAGCAACAC